ATGTTCCACTCGCTTCGTTCCACCGGATCTTACCATCTAATCCCATCTAATCAGAGTCCCCACATAAAATTACCATTGCTACCCAGTCTCTCAGTGTTTCGCCGGCCGTTCTGCGGTGGCGAACGGGCTGCACTGGCTCCTTCGGGAACATTCCCGAAGAGTACGCCATGCTCCGGGACATTGCTGTGACGTCAGCGCCGTGCCGCCTCGGCCTGTCTGGGGGGGGGGGCGACAGGGTGGGAGGGAGGGTGGAGACGGCGTTCCAATCAGCGTGGTTCCGGCCTGGGCGAGCTGGCCCCATCAATAGCAACAGGTCCTGAATGTCGGCGCTGGAGGATGGCTACGTGTGACTATCTTTTGTCGTCCAAAGCGTCAGCAGCCTGTACTTGATCTATAACACGGCTGAAATCAAGAAGTGGAAGGACTAGCGTTTTTTATTTATTTTTTTATTTACTGCATGGCATGAAGTGAGCATATTTTGCTTAGAGCCTGTGCCACCAGGTCACTGACATACGGTATTATTGCCAGAAATGTTCCAGTTGTGCTGGCAATATATGCAATGAAATAAGTAATGAGGTGCATGCAAATATTGTCAATGCCAAATACATGAACAATGCGAAACTTAGAGTGAGGGCATTGCAATTAGTCGTTGTAGGTATATCCTCTTGGTTCTTTTTGTATACTGGGGTATACATCGTCTTAAGTCGATCTCTACGGAATTCACTAATGGCTAGGCTATTTCATGGCCATGCGTTGCATTCTTCATGCCATGGTCCGCCACCTGGTGGCTGAATTTATATCCTCAAGTTGAATTTCTTGACGCCTCAGCGCTTGAATCTTCCCGGTATCTCGGCGGTCGCAGCATAGAGGTACGTCTCCTAATTATCCTCCTGTTATTTCTTTTTAAGAGTATGACTCATCGAAAACTGTTGTTTTGCTAACATAACCATTCGTTGTTGATCATTGCTTGCAGGTTTTGTAAACAAACTTGTGTGTTTGGAACTTTTCCAGAAAGAATTAAAGTTCATGTATACTAAGGTATACAAATGTCCTTGGCCCGAAAAATTTTGAGACGTGCTTAAGAAGTAGCACTACAATTATTCGGAGGAATTGACCTCTGAAAAAAATAAATGTACACCCGAGTGACCAACGGGATTCTGCACGACGGAGAAATGTAAACGTCAGTATACAACGGACTGTGCCTAGGACTAGTCATATATACTGTAGTATACATGGTTGCTGGGTTAGTGAAAGCCATTTTTTTGTGGCTCACAAACAACCTTATGCCTTCAAATGGCTCTGTGGTTGAGCGTTGACATTCTTCGAATCGTTGGCGACCTCAATGACCGTAGATCCTCACTCAAAGTTTGATAAATCGCCCGATGAATTAGAATCCGACCCCTAAGCACAATGACATAGGCAAGCACCTCTCTAAAACACACCATACGGCGATTTTTTAGAGATGTCGCTTCAGATAATGCTGCAAGGTCTTCCTCTACTGTTTATCGATTCGCAACAGGTGCTACAAGTTCTATATCTTCAAAGGAAATGGCAACTAAAGACCTAAGAGCAGTGGGCAAGGGTCAGAAGAAGCTGAAGTTAAGGGCGAGTGGTGTTGATAATGAAACGTGTCAATACTATTAGCCATTTTACGCCCTAAACAAACGAAAAAATACACTTTGATGTTTGTATGGAAGTTTTCATGGGTTGCATTTCAGTCAGATTTTATAGGCTTTGAGTATTTTTGTATATCCCAGTATACATGTCACTGCGCATGCGCGATGACCTTTACGGCTGAAATGTCACCAATCTGGTCATTATTGGCACCAAAGCTCTCAGCCAAAAAAGTTTCGTTGCTCTCCATTCATGGGCGAATTGGCGGGACTCAAGAGGATATACCTAGTGCTACTATATAGACATAAGTAGTAATGTTTGTCATTTTTGCCATCCCTACATCATAAAGCAAGTCAAAGGCAAAACAGACCCTTTTCTGATGTAGTGGTCTATGATCAAGTGCCTCATTAAGCTGGTATTATTTTTTACCCTAACCGGGCCTATCCATTTCCTACAGGTACGAGGGGGCCGAAGAAATGGGGCAGGTATGACCCCTCGACGTTTCGCCGTTAATTAAGCTAGAGTCTCGCGGAAAACAAAGAGTGTTTGCCATTATGAGACGTAACGACTGGTTCCTGATTTTAAAGCCTCAGGTTAGCTGATGACATCTGAGGTCACCTCAGGTGCGCCAAGATACGAATTCGGTTTTTGATAAATACCTTCGCTAACGCCCAACAATGGTCGAGGATCCACGATCTTACGGCGCGTTCGTCATGCTCAGACGCGTCAAATGACATACTCTTTTTGTTTTAGTGAGGTCCATTTAGGGCGTCGACCTCAGGTCAAGGTTAGGTCAGAGCCACACAGGTCATGACATGACGCTGGTCGAAAAAGGTCATAATGCATGCCGTTCGACTCGGCAGGTCGTCCTGATTGGCCCATTGGTGGCTTTCGCGACCCACTAGCTGAGTTTGAGAGGTAATTATTAAATAAAAGCGTCTATCAACATAAATGACGTCACGCAAGATAAATGAAAACATTGAATTTCGCAAGAAGCGCATTAAATAATGATATCATGTTTGTACTTGTGATAGTTTTAGATCATTTCCGGCACCAAAATAGCAGCTCACATATTTTCCCGTTGACGTACAATGCAGAAGTCACGTGGACGACCTGACCTCAGATGACCAGTAAGCGAAATCCGAGATACACAAGTTGCGAGACCTTGGGAGGTTACTTAAGTCCCCAAGCTTCATTTTCCTTTAAAAGCTCCTCTGGCACTGAGAGGGTTACAAACTTGCGACATTTTAGGGCCGTGCAGAGGTTTACTGATAACTTTAAGTTTACTTATAGAGGTTTACTCACAGGCCAGTGACCCGACCTGACCTAAAAATGCGGTTGGTGTCTCAAAAGATTCGACTTGAATAAAAAGACAGGTGTGCCAACTTCCAACTTTCCATCGCTAGCTGTTCCGAGCGATCGCGAAAAACCCTTCCGGGAGCGTTACCCCCTCGGCCGGTGTGGGCTTAAAGTACCTACCACAGTGTTGATGATGGATAATGATAAAATATCTGAAGAAAGGTGTCTGCGAGCTATCGGCATCAGACAACTATGTAAATTATGCTACCTGTTGGTGACTGGCAAAGCCTCCGTATGCAAACGCCCTTTAAATCATCACCTAGGTGTTCTGACAATGTGGTATGCCTACAGTTCAGTGTTTGCCTGAGACGACAGGATGAAATCGGACTGTTAGTCCGGCATCGGCCTGGGTAGGAATTAGGAAAGCCGTCTTACATAGCGCCGATGCTAACGCCACCTACAATCCTGGTACGCAGCCTGCCTGCGGCCTCTACTGAAAACACGGGGAGCTTGGTGAGGGCCGGAGGCCCGGACGACGATGCTATACGCTGCCCATGTGAATTTCTGTATTTTGCCTGAATTTTGGACTTCTGTCTACAGAATTTGAAGGGGAACGGCGCTCGATTATTGATATAATGTTCGGAGTCATTCTGGATCTAATGACCAGATTATTTATCATTGCTACTCTCTCAGCAGCTCTTACTACCTACCTACCTACGTAAGAAGATAGTCATGAATCAAGCTTTCCGTTGTAAGTTCAGCAAGATTTTCAACAAAAACAAAATTTGCTGGCCGTCATAAGGTTCACTGAATGCAGCCAAATTGCTTGTGATCTTTGACAAATTACCGGTGACATTTGCGCCCAGCGATCAAAGTCGTGTGTTGAATAACCAGAGCAAAATAATGTTGCGAGTATGTATTGCTTTTTTTCTCGTAAAATCGAACATAGGTATTGTTTGACCTTTCCCTGTCCCTGCTGAGAAGAAGGGGTGTGTGTGTGTGGGGGGGGGGGGGCTGAGACATCAAGATTAAACATCAGTCGCTGCATCTCATCATGGCAACGGTGCACACGCTTTTTGCTGTGAACCTCTAATTTAATCGTGGTCGAAATGACGAGGGGTCCCTATCTCGCCCCCCGTCGTTATACATGCTAAGCATTACATAATTGACAGTTTTTAACCGTGCAGAGGTTTGCTTATGACGTCGTAGGTCAGTGACTTGACCTGGCCTGAAAATTGAGTTGGTTTCACAATTTCGAAAGATCTGTCTTGCATCAAAGTTCGAGTATGTATGCTGGATTTCAGCTCCTTTTCCTAACTTATCCGACAAATAACGAGAAAACCGTCTGGGGTGACACCAGCCCCTCTCGGTGGGGTCTGGGGAGGGTCAAAGCAATGCCAAATCCTGATTTCAGGGTCATTGATCTGACCCTTGAGGTCAACAGGTGACTGCATACAAAATGGGTACTCGGTGCCTACGCTTTTTATTGAGATGATCATTGATCATGCCATGACTAGAAGTACTAAGGAATATTTTATTCAGTAGTCTGTGTGACCAAAGGAATGCCATTTTTACCTGATGCTTCCCTCGTTTTTACGCCATAGCTTACATAGGCGGCGGAACGGGGGGGGGGGGCACCGGGGCAACGTGCCCCCGTTGATTTTGCCATTTTAACATTAGCCCTATGGGCGTTACATGGAAAGAATGGGACCAAAAGTCGGCAGTGCTCCCCCCCTTTAATTGAAGGTGTTTCGCCGCTACTGTTTTACGCCATTCCTAAAGATTATCACTTAATGCTAAAACGTCTCTTTTGAACTATAAAACACCAGCGCCCGCCCGTAAGTACATACACATATATAGCCAAAGAAGCCAATAACTGCCGAGCCGGTAATTGCTCCGATTGAGCGGCATTCACTGCTGCGTACATGCTGTCATAGCCCCATATAGCTCTTTCACGGGGAGGTGGGTCACGGGGTCAGCCTGTCCCGTCTCAGCCGTCACTGCACAACCGTCTGTGCTCCCCCGCTGACCCCGCTACACTACAGGTCATTGCGCGCTGATCACCTCCATTCCTGACGGCCCAATCTGTCGCGCCGCGGGGCACTGCTCTGCGGCGTCGGCCGTGTGTCAGGTACCCCCGTATTGACCGGCGTTTTTCCCCGCGGCGGCGGCGGCCGGGTCGAGGTCGCCGAGGCGCTGTGACGTCACTACGGCGGCGCACGGCGCGCGGCGCGCGGCGCGCGGCGGCCACTGTAGCGCTATCGATCGGCCGGCTATCAGTGGCAACATGGCCGCAGCCGGCGCACACCTGTGAGAGGCGCGCTGCCGCCCGCTCCGCCGCACCCAGTCGCCGAGCCAGCCATGGCACCGGCTGGCCGGACCGCGGTCCTCATCGCCGGCTGTGTGCTCTGCTTGGTCACCATCAGCACAGGATCCAGAGGTGAGAGACTGAGACTGATCAGAGGGATCGCTAGACTGAGAGACGAGTGGGAACGCGCTGTCCTCAGCCCACAGTTCTCAGGGTCATCGCCGATGGAGCCCGGGTTGTGTGTGTTTTAGTGTGTGTGTATAGAGTACATGTGCACTGCTTTTGACACACTGCAGTGACCGTACTGCGGCTGGGTGAACTCCATACGGCACTACCGGCCCCGGCGGACCGTCCGGCCTCCTCTCTCGCCCACTCAGCCCGCTGACAGCTCACCGCGTTTCACGGTCACCAGGCAGTGTCCTTCTGACCTGTGCCACATGTGTTTAATCTGCTCGCTCCGTGACCTGACCCAGGTCGCCGCTCAGCAGTGGAGCCATGATCGTGACGGTAGATCCGACCAAGTCAACTGGGCCTTTGTTTACGCACGGTGGAGTGAGGTCCCGTCATTTGAGAGCAATTGGTATGCGGGTCAGTAGTGTCAGTGAGGCACGCTGTTGTTCGACAGGAAGGCATGGTGCCGCCCCGCATATTGCGTGTGTTTACCCTGGCCTTGACCTTGGACATTGCGACATACGGAAAGTTTAGGTACTCTATTGCAAAATTTGAAAACTGGACAAGATAGAATTAAACCAAATCGATTTTTATTTGAGTGAATTGTGAGGTTCTGATATCTCGACTGATTCTACATAGATATGCGATTTTCTTGCATTGAGAATTGAGATTCTCCAAAGTGAAAATTGTTCACAAATAACGGACAGGTATAAGAAGTCCTTTTTTTCTCTGTATATTAACCCTCGCCCGCACATGCCATTTTCCCATCCTAGAACGCACATGGGGGGTGTGGTTGCCACCCCCCCCCCGCGCCATTTCGTTCCTGTTGGAGATAGAGCTTAGCGGTAAAGACCAAAAAGATTCTTTGGGAAGAGACGAATCCAATGATACCCAGTTTTACCTTCTCAGGTCAGTCATTGACCTTCCAGGTCAGGTCAAACTAAAAAATGTTGCTGTTTTGGGTCACCGTTGGATATCAAGTGCGCTGCTTATCAAATACCGATGACGATGCTGTTTTCTGGTGCCAGGCCAGCTAGAACCTCTTTGTCACACTACCCGACCAGAATTTTGCGGCTGAGGTCATTTCAGGTCAAGTTAGGTCAAGGTCAATTATATGTGTTTGTATGTCTGTGTGTGTCTGTGTGTATACTGATGTGTGCACCGATTGTTTTTGGGTCCATATTACATGAAATCATGCTCTGAGAAGCTTTTACCAAAAATGCAGTCAAAAAAAATCAAAAAAAGTAAATTCAGCTTGCCTAAAACGCAATTATCTTAGATGACCTAGGTTGACCTTGACCCTGACCTTGACCCCTGCACATCGCCGAACAACATGTTCCATGATAGGTGGGAGGTAAGACTGGCAAAAAAGGCCGAAATCAGGGTGTCAAAAGCTCGCAAGGCCCATGGCAATCGCAAGATGTTGAGAATTGGCCATTTGGGTCATGACATGACCTGAAAAACAAGGTCATATCTCCGAAACCAAAAATCAGAGAAACTTGAAATTTTCAGTGGACATCAAGAAAGGATAGAGGAGCAGCTATACGAAAAATCAGCCTTCTAGCGCTAAAAATGTTGAGTGCAGAGCAGAAAGACTACCTGGGGGGGGGGTGGCAACCACCACCCCCCCCCCCCCCATGTGCAGGCGAGGGTTAAGCCTTTATTGTAAACGGTTTTTAAGCCAGGGAGCATGCGAGTATTTCACGGTTACATTCCAATGGTTACAAACCGGCAGTAAAAGGCATTGAGTTGCTGAAACTTAGAAGCACTCATGTAATTACAAATGAAGCATTAAAAAAGTAGGAGTGGATTCATAACATGATCGGTAGCAAAATGGATCAGAAGGAAACGAGCGATTGATAAATTCAAAAAATATTTAGATTGGTACAGCGAATGCTTATATTATCTGACTCAGTTAGCAAGATTCCTTGAACTAAGAGATTTGTATGTCTTTAGCAAAATTGGTAGCAAAATTGAACAGTAGGAAACACGCGATTGATAAATTCAAAATATATTTAGATTGGAACAGCGATTGCTTATATTATCTGACTGAGTAAACAAGGCTCCTTGAACCAAAAGATTTGTATGTCTTTTTGAATATATTTGGAATGTCTCTGTGGTAATTGGTTGATAAGTGAGGTGGCAAGATCAGACTGCTGGACTGAGCCACAGAGCTATAGTTACAACTTACATTATCATCTAACCTGTCATTGGATGCTCAACATTTCCTGTAAGATGCCCTTTAACCCTCGCATGTGTAGGGGGGGGGGGGTCGGATGGACCCCCCCCATGGGTTTTCGCGAATAACTCGCGTAAAAAGCGGCCGATCGCGACGAAACTTTCAGTACCCTCGCATTGATTAATTTTACACCTACCCTGAAAATTTCATGACCCTGACCCAAATGACCTTTGACCTGTGACCTCTTTTCCGAGACCATGTTTGGCCGGAATCGCGATTTCGCGTATGTCGGCTCGCACTAGCCGCGTGTTTGCAAGCTTTTCGTGGTTTCAAACGTTCAAACATGTGATTTGATGTTACTCCCGTGTGTGTCAAGGTCACCTGAAGGTCAGGTCAGGTCATTGACCTTTGGTGACCTCGGGTGACCTCGGGTCACTTTTTCGAGTTTTACATGTTGCTAGGCTAGTTTTTGGAGCTGAATTCGAATTTAGCAACCATTTGAACATTTACGAAGTAGTTTTGGTGACTTCGTAACATGTTACGAAGCTGTCAGAGGCGGTTGACACGTACTACGAATACCCGTCACGACGCCTACTGGTTGACCTGACCTGACCTGACCCGACCTGGTCTAAATGCTTCAAGACATCATCTCTGATCAAAACTAACACGATATTCGTGATCAGCACCCCGAAAAACCCCATAGCAGCCACACTTTACGACTTTCTAACAGGTACCGATTTTCCCGACTTTGGGTCATTGACCTGACCTGGAAGGTCAACCAATGACCTAGGACCTTAAAATTGGGTATCATCGGCTTCCTCTCGTCACGGGCAACACGCTCGTTTTTTTCCGCGAAGCTCTAGCTCGATCAGGGGCCAAACGGCAAGGGGGGGGTCCAACCGACCCCCCTACACATTAGAAGCTGGCAAACGCCGCACACATGCGAGGGTTAACCCTCGCCCGCACATGCCATTTTCCCATCCTAGAACGCACATGGGGGGGGGGGTGGTTGCCACCCCCCCGCGCCATTTCGTTCCTGTTGGAGATAGAGCTTAGCGGTAAAGACCAAAAAGATTCTTTGGGAAGAGACGAATCCAATGATACCCAGTTTTACCTTCTCAGGTCAGTCATTGACCTTCCAGGTCAGGTCAAACTAAAAAATGTTGCTGTTTTGGGTCACCGTTGGATATCACGTGCGCTGCTTATCAAATACCGATGACGATGCTGTTTTCTGGTGCCAAGCCAGCTAGAACCTCTTTTTCACACTACCCGACCATAATTTTGCTGCTGAGGTCATTTCAGGTCAAGTTAGGTCAAGGTCAATTATATGTGTTTGTATGTCTGTGTGTGTCTGTGTGTATACTGATGTGTGCACCGATTGTTTTTGGGTCCATATTACATGAAATCATGATTTGAGAAGCTTTTACCAAAAATGCAGTCAAAAAACTTCACAAAAAGTAAATTCAGCTTGCCTAAAACGCAATTATCTTAGATGACCTAGGTTGACCTTGACCCTGACCTTGACCCCTGTACATCGTCGAACAACATGTTCCATGATAGGTGGGAGGTAAGACTGGCAAAAAAGGCCGAAATCAGGGTGTCAAAAGCTCACAAGGCCCATGGCAAACGCAAGATGTTGAGAATTGGCCATTTGGGTCATGACATGACCTGAAAAACAAGGTCATATCTCCGAAACCAAAAATCACAGAAACTTGAAATTTTCAGTGGGCATCAAGAAAGGATAGACGAGCAGCTATACGACAAATCAGCCTTCTAGCTATAAAAAATGTTGAGTGCAGAGCAGAAAGACTACCTGGGGGGGGGGTGGCAACCCCCCCCCCATGTGCGGGCGAGGGTTAACTGACTGTCAATGCTCACGTATTCACAAAAGTTGTATTCGACTTCCGTCCTTTAAAACATTCCAATATTTCTCATATTTTAAATGCCCTCAACCTTCCCTTTTCTTCCAATATCATTTGCGTCAGATAAGTGTGCATTTCATTTTCAACATACATACAGCTGTCGTTTCATGCGGGCGAGATGATGGGGTATACCTTCTAATCATTAAAACAGTCCGATCATATACCGGTCATTAGGTTGCAACATACAAGATCTGTGATCAGCAAAGCATATCATTTGTCCTATTGACCAATGATTGGAGAAATGAAATCCCCGCCTGGCTCAAGTTATTGATGATGTATTCAGGATAGGCCATTTGCACACAGCTCTACCTACATCATTTCCTGACTTTCAGACAAGTCAGCTTCAAACCGGTTTCACTGCTCAGCCTTTAGCATTCATGTCGGCATGCCGCGCTGGTTGGCCTTTGGAGAACTGCCAGTGGCCATCCAAGTCACGTTCATTTCACTTGGTCCGAATGTGATTTGATTTGCCAGGCGGTAGACCTCATTTTGGATGGCTTTTCTGATCATTTACTTTCATTGGTTTTCAATCTAGTCTTGCGCAAGCCTCGCCTCTGCTGACGCTGAAGCTAATACAGTAGGCAGTATGCACACATGCCGTCCAACTGGGAACCACGGCAACGAAAATCTGCTGCTTATTAGCACATACATTGCACATAGATATGCCAACATTTTATCTCCATGAGATCTATCACTAGACAGTACACTAGATTGTTAGCAACACACTACATATCCGTGTTATCGCGGCGTATCCATGGCTGTGGCTGAATAAACAAGAACATCCACCACACTGCGGCAAAAAACCTGACGAGGCGGTGCCGGAAGCTGACATCCTAAGCCGGCGGCTTCGCTGCCTGTCCGTCCGGCTGTCTCGGGATGCTCATTATCATTAGTGTGGGGTCACCTGAGACGGCCGGGGGGATGCGCAGTGCGCACCGACCGGAAGATCAGAGGTCGACATGTGCCCCGCAGCGGTGCGTTGAACGACAATAAACTGCCCCGGAGACGGAGGTCAATAGGGCTTAGACTGAATGGTGTGTCCTGGGGGACCGCGACGGCGGTCTTTCTTGTTGCATCCGTTCAGAAGTTTGTTTGCCTCGATGCTGAGTTTGGGCATATTGGCCCAGGAGGGATACGAAGTAATAAGTTTTACTACGAAAATGCAGCCCGATAACTTGTTTGTTTTTTTTTTCGCTTTGGAGGTGGAACATGAAAGTCTCTTGCAGGATGAGGAGCCGTGCTGACTTTACTTTTTACCTAAAATGGTGACCCAGTGAACTGACCAGAGACCCATTTTACATAAAAGAGCGTTGGTAAGTTTTCCTGGTGGCGCTTCGCTTCTATAACTACATTTCATAATTCAGTAAAATCCAGAAAAAAAATGAGTTCCACCACCCTACAATACGAGTCATTTTTTCAAATGTTTATACTAAATACTGCAGCAATGCAGCAACAAAAAAAAAACTAATTAAAACAGCTTCCTCCATGCGCGGTCGGTCCCTTCTCATCCTGGAACCTCGAGCGCTGACGGGAAGGTATGCTGTTCCGCAGTACACCTCTGTCATGCGGTGCAGCATGCGCCAAACCAACCGCAACCGCGGCGCCTTGAAGAACGGATAGCCAGACTGGAACCGTTCAGGCCAAGGGTTCAGGCTGTGTTTGCTCCAATAAGCTCGAACCCACCCTGATCACTTCAAAGCTCTTTCCAAAGTCGGATCAGTGCTAAATGGAATGGGATTGGAGATCAGGCACGGGGTGGTCTTGGCAAACACTCAATTCGAGAGATAAGATGGCCCTGGAAATGAAAGTTGCGGTTATACAACTTTTGAGAAACGCTGCCATCTTCTTCAGCAGTCTCTGAGAATGGTTTGCCCGGTGCTATATCATTTTACCCCCTGCCTCGGACACCACCCTGCGACTCATGGCACGGCGCCGTGGACTTCTTGCCCGAGAGGGCCGGACTCCTGCCTTCCTCACCCTGGACAAACAAGTAAAATCTGCTATACGTCGTGACGTTAAAAACGACATTGCTAGCCGGGTGAGGAGGCAGGGTCCGGCCTCCACCTTCCGCAACCTTCGGCAGGTGATCGAGGGCAAGAGGTCCACTCAGCGAGTCGTGCCTGAGGCCACCCCCAACGAGCTGAACGATTACTTTGTGGGGGTCGGCCCTCGGGTCGCGGCTGAGGTCCGAGACAGGGGGGAGCCCCTTCCTCTTCCTTGCAGACTACCTAGAGTAGGCGCCTGTGCACTCACCTTACAACCTATTTCCCTTCACTCTCTCCGATGTGTCCTTTTTTCCATGAAAAATTCCTCTTCTTCCGGCTCCGACGGTGTCAGCATCCGGATCCTACGCCTCTGTTTCGACTCCATCGGTCACGTCTTTCTCTACTTTGTCAACACCTGTCTCACAACCTGTGAATTTCCCGCGTCCTGGAAGCACTCTATCGTCCACCCCATCCACAAAGCGGGCAATCCTACTGATCCATCCAACTATCGACCTATCTCAATTGTTCCTGCCTTTGCCAAACTTGTAGAAAAAGTTGCTCAGCAGCAGCTGTACACCTACATGTCTGGCAACCATCTATTTTCCTCATCCCAGCACGGTTTCCGCTCTTGTCTCTCCACAGAAACCGCGCTCGCCACCGTATCCGATCACATCCTCTCTGCCACCGACCGTCAGGAACTCACTCTCCTATGTCTCCTCGATCTCTCCAAATGCTTTGACGTCATCGACCACTCAAAGCTACTATCCAAACTTCAAACCTATTCTATCGATCCGACCTGGTTTTCCTCTTACCTCCGTGGCCATTCCCAATCAGTTTGCACAACTGACGGGCGAGGAAACCGAGTCCTCTCCGATCCTCTACCCAATCCTATCGGCGTGTTCCAAGGATCCTCGCTGGGCCCGCTCCTGTTCCAAATATTTGCCAATGACCTCCCTCTTTTCGCTCCCGGGGCGCACGTGGTGCAGTACGCTGATGATACCCAAATTCTACTTTCTGGCAAAAAAGATTCCCTCCCTCATCTCATCGCCACTTTAGAACAAATTTTGGACTCTTTTGATGCCTGGTTTCATACCAACGGCTTAAAAGTTAACACAGCTAAAACTGAGCTCATAGTTTTTGGCTCGCGCCAAAATTGCCGCAGCCTGGATCCCATCTCAATTCGGTTCCGTGAGGACACGATCCGTGAGGGCCCCACGGTGAGGAACCTTGGCGTGGTTTTCGACAAGCACCTCACCTGGGACGCTCACGTATCGGCCCTCGTCCAAAAATGCAACGGTATCCTCATTGGGCTGTCCCACGTGCGTCACCACATCCCTTGTGAACTTCTGCCTACTGTGGTCAGCGCCTTGGTCCTCTCGCACGTCCGATATTGTCTCTCGGTCTATGGAAACGGGTCGGACAAAAACACACAACGCCTCCAAAAAGTTCTCAATTTTGCGCTGCGCGTTGTGTCCGGCCGAAGAAAATTTGACCACATATCGGACGTGCGAGAGGAACTGGGCTGGCCTACCGCCCGTCAGTTGTACGAAATCCACTCTCTTAACTTCCTCCACAAAATACGCTGCACCGAAGAGCCGGATACTATGTTCTCCCAAATCCTGGCCAACTCTTCCCTTCGCTCACGCTCAACCCGGCGGGACACTGATCTGTCTCTCCCACGCGTGAGAACCGAAGCAGGGAGGCGGCGCCTGCTCTACAGCATAGCCCAGTTGTACAACCGTCTGCCCCATGACATTAGACATCTCCCTCTGGGAGCTTTTAAACGCTCTGTTTCCGAGTTGTATCTGCGTGTTTAATGATGAATGTGTGATTTGAATTGTGTTCTGTTTGATGTGATTGATGAGTGTATCTTAACTTGTTTTTCCTTTTAACCGTGACGCGACACTCGGAATAGCCACTTTACTGTGGAGAGTGTTTTAACTGTCAAATACAAATACAAATACAAATTTTTTAACCCTCGCCCTGGCAGGGGGGGGGTCGATGCGACCCCCCCTAAGGTTTTTCGAAGATAGCGTAAAAACGGCGGCGCGCAGCGCCGCCAAATTTGGCACAGCCTATGGGGCAACCTTTTTACATATAACCTGAAAATTTCAGGTCCGGGTGACCTTGGGTCAGGTCACCAGGTCAGAAAAACCGGTACAAGGTCATGGTCAAATTTCAATTTTCTTTTTGCTCCTGTCCAACTCACAGTTTTGCACTGATTTCCTTCAAACTTTCAGGATGTGCTAAGTTCATCGAGTTGTATAACATATAGTTCGGGTTTTTTGAGGTCACTGACCTGAGGTCAGCTAGAGGTCATTACGTCGTAATGTTAAGCCTATGGGAAAATATTAAATTCGGAAAATACTGGAGATATCCGCTTCGTTTTATCACTTTTGTGCTTTGAAACCACAGTACTTAACAGCAGGTCACTTGGTGCTTCTTTGTTTGGTGTACTTATCCATGGGTCAGGTCAAATGAGGTCAACTGAGGTCAAATGACGTTTTTGCCAATAACTTGGCACATAATGACGCTAGAGCTTCAAAAATGGTATCATTGTGTTCCTGGTGATCAGCCGAATCGAATGATATGCAATATGATGCAATTTGGTCAACTTTAACTTAATTTATTAATTTAAGTTTACTTAAAATTTAAGAAAAACTTTAAGTACTTTTAAGCAAGCTAAAAAGTATATCATTCGATGCGCCTTGACGTGCTGAGTTCACTGGTGCTTTTCTTTTGGCTCTATCTTAATTAGATCAAAAGTTATAAGCGAAAAACTTTTGACCTGTTTTTAGCGAAATTTTTATATTTATACCCCCCAAAACCCCCCTAAATATTGACCTAGAGCAACCAAATTTGCACAGGGGCGAGAACTCCAGGGGGCCCACCTACCTACCAAATTTGGTGTTTCTAGGTGCGATAGGAGCCAATCGCGAGGGGGGGGGTCGCATCGACCCCCCCCCCCTGCCAGGCCGTGTTATGAAAAATGCCCTGCCAGGGCGAGGGTTAATTTAAGAAGTAAGTTTATCTGACTTTGGTAAACTGACATCACCGCATAATCTAGGTATACTCGCTTGACCCTGCGTATGAGGGATGCTGGTCCTCTTGACCATCCTGCACCTTGACATCTCCACTCTCCAGTATCTACTCATTCTAGTTATTCGTAAGTCATACGTTATTTTATGGCGACGCTGTTGAATAACGTCTAACAACTCGTTAGGCCAGTTTGCAAGCATACTGCATAGCGTTGTAAGAAATACAGGAGACCCCCAATGCTATAGTTATGCTGATGATAGGTATAAGCATCATCGGTTATATGACACTTGAACTAAACACTCTGACAACCTCACTGACGCTTACTTTGTTTCTTTCAGATGCATCTCCTCTGAAATCACTACAAACGGAAGAGGGAAACATCGACGACTTGATATACAGGATAGAACAGCTCCAGGAACAAAAGGTAAGTTGAGAACTCCACTTCAACTATCTTGTGTTCTAGATGCTTGATTGTATCTGGACCGTCAGCAGTGGGTCAATGATGCTCGTTTCAATCGACCTCTGGAAATCAATAATCGTCCTTGTTTACTTTGTTAGGGAGTTGCTACAGTTGAATTATTTGGTCCTGATCGATAGCGTTCGGTTTGTTTTTCGTCTATTTTATGGTAAAATTAGTTCAAGATACCTAATGTCAAGTGCCAATTCTGTGCTCAATGAGTAAACATTGATCCAACATAGGCGTCAAAGTCAAAATATAATTCAAACCTGAAAACGCGGAGCGAGTGTCATTTGGCCTCTGGCTCGCAATGTGTTTATTCAGCGGGTCGACCCCAACTACGGTGACAAATTGAGCCTCGTTGAGCGTGCGGGTGAGCCATCGTGGACCGTAGGTCTCCGCCTGGGACCCCAGCCAATATCCCTCATCAACTTCGCCGAGCGCGTGTCGGTTCACTTTACAGCAACGCCGGGTGGCATTTGCATGACGGCAATATTCCCATAAACATCATTATCTACAAGCACCGACTACAACCAGCCCAAGCAAGCCCTCGACTGGAGCTATTCTGGACCACATCAGACGCTGGTCTGATCCGCCTGCCTGCTAGCCTGGTATAGCTGAAGTAATAGACTGCAGGGACCGGGTAGCTGAGTGGGCTGCACTACATTTCCCTGCACTGAGCCGAGAACAATGAGCCGAGCGCTGAGCAGCCAGCCGCCTGGAGGGTGCACTGACCGACGGCTGCCACTCTCCCCGGAGCTCAAAGACAGAGTGGCGGAGAGAACAGAGCTTCTGAGATCTCAAGAACCGGGTAGAATGGCAGTGAATAGGGCTGGTGCGGCGATAGTAGTGGAGAACAGAACGTCTAAGGAAATTAATTATGAGAAAGAATGGAAAAGATAAGTGTCGAGATGGAGGGCTGAAAGGAACACGGCTTATCTAGAAGAAGTGGTTAGGAATTTGGTTGGGCTGGATAGTGGTTAGTTGAAAAAGAGAAGGGACCTGGTAAAAGAAAATAGGGAAGTGGCCTGGGACGAGAATTGAGTCTGCGAAATGACGCTAAATATACTGGCAAGAGGTTATTGCTATCATAAAACAAAATCATTACACAGTTGAGCATGCCTTCACCTGGCTGATGAGGTAACTTCGATATCTTGGAGGCTCTTTTCACGTGCAAAAGATAATCAATTCTGAAAAGACAGGTCAGTAAGTTTCGCTGTTATGTGGCAACAAGCGCATCTCCGATAGACAGAGCGGGAATTTCTTTGTGTCTGAGCGGACACGTCGAGTCGGCAGCGACGGGCGGTCGATGGTAACATCCGGCAGGCTGAAGAGCGTCGCTCCCCCCCCGGCACGAGCCCCCCCCCCCCCGCCTGCAGGAGCGTGGAGGGGGGGGGGGGAGATCGCCTGCGGGCACTCGGAGCCGTGGGCAGTGAGCGCAGTGGTCACAGCCACCGCCGCCGGCCGCCGGCCTCTCATGCCGCGCATACTAAGGACGAGAACTTCTGTAGAGTCGGCCTAAGAAGCCTGCCAGACAGCCGCTGAAAGGTCGGCGCTCCTGGAATAGAGACCGTTACCGAGTCCCCACAGCTCAGCCACATGTTGACATTGATATAAGAAAATATATAAAGGAATACCCCTGGATTTGACGTTTTGATAACCCGCGCCCTGGTGGGGTCTGTTTATAACGCGACCTGGTGGGGGGGGGGGGCTATTTTTTGCCCCCCCCCCTCGTATCTCCGAAACTACTGGACGGATCCGCAAAATTCAAACGGCTTTCGAAAGGCCTGTCAAATTTGTCGAAGGAAACCAAATTTCATTGACCTCGGGGTCACCGATGACGTCACAGGTCAGGTCAAAGATAAAATGTTTCACCGTTCACGGGTCTTCTAGGGAATGCGCTATAACACCGAGGAAAACGCATTTTGTCGAGAATCAGCGGTAGGGCGTCAGTTGCCTAGTAGATATGTTGCTATTAGAGGTCACTGGCAATACCAGGTCAGGTCATAGGTCAGGTCACCAAGGGTCACAGGTCAGGTCACATGAGCCCAACTTTACTAAGGTTGTGTGATACATGTTTTATGGCCGATTTTTCATTTCCAACTCAATGGTGTTGGTTATAAGACTATCAGGTACGGCTTAGGTCACTTTCTGGTGAAGTTCAGGTCAAGGTCAGGTCAAGGTCAGGCCAAAAAAAGTCAAATTTAAAAGTTGATAGTTTTGCATAAAATGGGTATTGATTCGATGCAGCTTGTCACGGGGAGTCTAATGGTGGTCTTTGTTTTGCGCTACGGGGTCTAGCATTGCTATAAATTGAGTTTGAAAATTTGACGTTATCAATTTTGAACAGTTTTTTTTTCGCTATAACTTCGCCAAAAAAAGAGGTATCAATCTCAAATTTGGTATGTGGATGGAAGGTGGTAAGGACTATCACATATATTCCGGGTTTTGCGAAATTCAAAAAACTTTTTGGATTTTTCGATTATTATATCTAAAAAATCTATTTTTTGTTTTTTGGTGGTCAAAATCCAAAAATTTCAAAAATCCGAGATAGTAGTTTTGTAGCCCTGTCCAATCTACAGCTTTTATGTCTCATCATTTTTCTGTATTTGCAAAGCTATAGGCCTGACAGCTCTTCCCGCAAAACCCTTTTTTGGGTCGAAAACGGCAGAACATGACGTCACTCTGACGTCATTTCCGGCCAACCTATCATAGCCTTTGGAAAAAATTTTGGTCACAATGTGTAAAATTGATGTCCAGTACTGAAAGTTTGGTGACGATCGGCGCAGCGGTTCTGGAGATATATCGAAAAGTCTGGAGGGGGGCAAAAAATAGCCCCCCACCAGGTCGCGGGATAAGGAAGCATTGGTGCTACTTCGATGAGGTACTCGTGCTGAGAGCTAAGAGTCAAATATGAAAACTTGTCGTTAAATTAAAAAAAGATGTTGCCACTGTGATTGAATATTGATTTAATAAATGTGAATGAATTCTCCAACAATTTCTTAGATATCAACTGACACCTCGCAAAGTTCATAGCGGTTATTGAACTTTTCGAATCAATCGTGAGCGTATACACTATGTTTTGGACAGCCGTGGGTACAACTTTGTATGTAGTCTATATGGAGAGCTGCAAACCAACCTTCGATTCGGTGTGAGTTTACCAAACCAGCTTTTAGTGTTTCTCTATTTTTCCTTTCCTCTCATACTAGCTAGAGGAAGGATATGCGTGGATTATATGTTAGAAGCAACAACATACTTTGTCTTAATTGCATAATACTCAGCTTGAACTGTAACTTATCGGAGAACAGATTGACTAAGTGACCGCTCAATCATCCCCAGGCGCAGTAATAATGGCGCATAAACGCGCAGCTTTTACGTTTTAAGCGAAATTGCAAGTCAGTAAATGGTGAGTGGGCGGCTTGCTACGCAACACTAGGCTTTGATGGGGTATTCATATGCAAAAATATAGTTCTCTTTCTTTTGAATTTCAGTCTAACCTTCATGGCCCTATTGAATAACAACGTTGAATAACAAGTAGATTAGGCCGAATGTTGATACCATGCGCCGAAGTAACGATGCAATGACGAATCACGTATGTATGCTGCTAAGCGACGTATGCATGTGATGTGATTGGATGACCGCTGACCAGGCAATGCAGTGGCTAGCAGTGCAGTTCCAATTCAATCTCTAAATCTGTGTGAGGCATAAGCGGAGGCATACAAATCGTGAAAGCAAATATTCTGGATTTATGCCTTTGCAAGCCTTCCTTCAAGGCTGATCGAAGTCAAGAAAACCAGTGACCAAGAAAACCGCATTGCGCCATCAGAACTCCCATGTCCCACAGTGTGACAGCGTAATTTCCATGTCTCTCAGTGTGCTGTCGCAATACCATATCCCAACCGTCCTATCATTGTAGTGTAATATCCCTCGCATTCCGCCATCGAAGTGCCATCATTTCCCCAAGTTTGTCATCATCCCTGCAACCATATTCCTCGCTCCAACGTCTCATCATTTGTCTCGAAAGGTCCCCGGCGGCTCGTCATATCAAGTGTCTATCCATTCGGTCCAATGCTCCGTAATGTTCACTGAAGACGCTCTGTTCAGATACTGAGAGGTCCCTGGAGGGTCTCTGCAGAGCGGCTAGGTTCCAGGGCGTCGCGCTGCGCCATACGCGGCTCAATGTCCGATCAGTGACCGGCGGAGAGGTCTGATGGCGCCATCGAGACTCGATAGCGTCTGACAGTGACGATCCGCCCGACAGGCTGTCTGGAGTGGCTGTCGGACTGTCATTGACAGCCTGTCGCCCTGAAGGACTGTCGTCGACAGTATGTCAGCTCCTATAGACCGTCACCGACAGCCTGTCGCTCTGGGGGACTGTCATCCTGTCGGACTGTCACTGCCAGTCTGTCACCCCCGGGAGACCACCTGCGATAGTCTGGGACTATAGACAGGCTCGATGGGGTGGATCTGAGGCAGGCGTCGGCTCCATTCAGCGATATACATAGCTGACCCAGCCAACTGGACACGACATACACGACAGAGGAGATAATCATATCGACAGCTCAATAGAGCGGTCCTCTGTATCCAGTGCCCGCTGGGAGAGCTTTGGGCCCGTTGTGTGAGAGAAAGTGACTGCGATCTACTAGCTGACTATTTTATTTATCCCGTCCACAGCGAGCTCAGCAGAAGCAGCCACCACCACCAGCTCCGCGGCCCTCATCAGTCCGACACCCGAGCAAGGCGCAGGAGCCGTCCACCGCCCACCCGCCGCGGCGGTTCGCCTACTACCCGAGCGACCCCGAGTACCACGCCCCGCGGCGACCCGAGGTCGTGACACGGCCGGCCAAACATGGCGACTCAGGTCACGGCCAGACAGCGACCAAGGGCGCCAAAGGTCAGTCGGATGGGGTGGGATGAGGTGGCAACCGAGGGGATAAGTATCAGCGTGTCATGCTAATGCCATTAGCACAATTTAGTTTTCACGAGCACACAAAAATGAAAAAAATCATTTTTGCGTGCTCGTGAAAACTTAAGAAGTACAGGATATCCGACAGATGTAACCGAGGCCCTGCACATTAAAATTCACTGCGTATTAAACTTTGTTGGAAAAATGCAAATTCGTGCCAATAATGTAATCCACACCAAAGACTGCATCACATAAAATAAAAAACCGCCACGTGTCAGATGAGTTGGCTCAGAGCTCAGAGCTCAGTCTCATTGATGGGGCTGAATCCGACCCAGACGCCTGCTGAAGATGTATTGTTTACCCAGCTGCTCATGTGTACACAATGGAACAGTGGCAGCGCATTTATGAACGTTTAGCTAAGGTCTTAGCATTTTCGCCGTGGTAAAGAACGACAAAGGAGCACTTGCTTGCCTATATTCATATGTGCGTACTGCGCAGCACCAGGGCTGCGGAGTCGGAGTCGGAGTCGGAATTGGAGTCTGTCGGAGTCGACAGTTCTGCCCGGAGTCGGAGTCGGAGTCGGAGTCGCCAAAATCTTACCGACTCCGACTCCGGAGTCGGAGTTAACGCTGCATGGCTCAATGTCATGCACTGCACCTGTTTGATTGCCGAATACTGCGCTCGAAATTAGATTTTGTCGAAAAAACAACATTTTGCTGTTTTGGACGAGCGTTTTCAGCGAAAGAAGCAGAAGACGGAGAATGCCCCGCAACCTGCTTTTTAATTCTGCATGTCATTTTTAATGCATATTTGCACCGCAAAGCCTTGGAATGCACATGGGATCGTTTCAGGCAAGATAAAAACATCTCCATTATGAACTTCAAATATCATGATGTGGATTTTAATAGAACCGTTCGGAGTTGGAGTCGGAGTTGGAGTCGGAGTCGGAGTCGATTTTTGAGGCCGGAGTCGGAGTCGGAGTCGGAGTCACCATCGTCGGAGTATCCGTCGACTCCGCAGCCCTGCGCAGCACCATATACGACATAATTCCTCCCCGTCGTTCCACAATCGGAATTGCCTTGTCATAATCCTAGCTGCAATCATCTTGTCAATGTTTTGTAACTGTTCTTATAAAACGTCAGCTTTACCGAATAGAATTTAGCTAGCAATTTAGATCAACTAATCTTTTTTCTAATAATTATTAAAGGAAATGCTTCTCAATCTCATCACCACTATCTGCACACCAATCCATGGGATGAGCAAACACTCATGAATGATCGTCTTCCTGATCAAATTTGACAGCATTATGGACTGAATATCGCCCAACTGCTCTTCAGTTCTAAATGTCCAGAACTTGGCCAACTACTTCCCTCTTAAGTTGGAGCCGGGGAACGTCACGGACGAAGTTCTGCTCCCTCAGGTCCCGCAAAAATAAACTCGGATCTAGCCACTGCATTCCTGAAGACAGTGTCGGTGGCAGTTCCCGGTAGACGGACGCCGTCTCACTCCACACAAAGCTGTCCGTATGAGGAGAACTGAGTTCTAAAAGAATAGCTCCTTAGAGAGATTAACCTTACATCCGTTTCTGGACTCCAGTGCTTTTATTTTGAAATAGAGGTGGGTAAATAGGCAATAGCTTGATGTGCTTATCGGGCTTCTTTTGTCTGTGTTTATGGGGAAGTAAAAAGCTGTTGATGCAATCTCCGCTTTTTTCATATTATATTCATTCACAAAATAGCACCTGCAGCGAAAACAATATATCATGGCTGCATCCCTTCTACACATATATTCAACTGTTTACAAGATAAATAAATTGTAATAAATGAGAGAACTTCATCCAGTTGACGTTTTTGGCTCCTCCTGTCATCCAGTCATCCTGACTGGTCGTATTGAATTGGTATACCAACAAATGTGTCACATTCCCACCAGTGCAACGGCGACTTCTGTCTTCTTTGATATTGTTACACAATTGTTACCGCATACATGACGTTTTAGGATGAGTAGCGCGAATATATTTAGTCAGAGCTGTGTTAGGTTGATACCACCAGTCACGAAATATTGCTGGTTGCGAATTTCCCTTCGTGCCGTGCGGAATCAGTCCAACATGCCACGCCATGTCTCCACCTTCCCAGGTAAAAATAATTACGAGCGAGCGAGCGCAGCGAGCGAAGCGAGTCTTTTCAATATAACGGAAAAATCTCAGTATGAGCGGCCCGGCCCGGCCCGGCCCGGCCCGGCCCGGCCTGTAACGCTTTTGAGAGGCTTATATCTCAGCAACCGCTGGACCGAATGGCCTGCGGTCTTTTTTGCTGGGTAGCCCCATCCCTTTTACCCCGTAATTGACTACTTTTGATACATCTCAGTGACCGCCGTGGCACGTGCCACGTGAAAAGTCAAGGGTGTTCAAGCAGTTTTGCAAAAGTAATGATTTTGAGAGGCCCATATCTCAGCAGCGGCTTGAGCGATTGTCTTGCAGTCATTTTTATAGGGTAGCTGCATCCCTTCTACCAAAGGTCGGATACTCTTCATCTATGTGAGTGACCCCCACTGCACGTGCAAAATACAACAATAAGAGGTGCCAAATTTGTTCCCATTTCAGTAACTCGGTAATTACTGGGGCGATTTCGCTGAAACTTGGCATACAGGTAGGCACCCACCAGGCAATGCATTCCCATGTGTTGCGGTTAGGGTGCTACTGCACGTGCGCACGTGCAGGGGGCGTTTCCAGATCTCGAGAACGGCTGGGCCGATTGCGCTCAAATTTGGTACACGGTTGGGGACCAGTTAGTAGGGTGCCGTGCAAAAGTCAGTTTGGACCCCGTTTGCACGTGCGCACGTGCAAAATGCCGCTTCCAGATCTCAGGAACGGCTGGGCCGATTGTGTTCAAATTTGGCACACCGCTAGCGACCGGTTAGAAGGGTGCTTTGCGCAAGCCCGTTGAAAGCACCTTCTCGCCCTTCCGCACGTGCAGGGCTTACTATCTCGCTCGCTCGTTCTTCGCCCAAAAGGCGTTTTACTGGTTATATCAACCACAATGGGTGACAGGTGTAATAGTCTATGCCACTGCCAACAGCACAAGGCTGCAGTCCAAGGGAGGCTGCAATTCCAGCCTCCATGCAGGAGATATAAAGTTACTCGGGAGTCGGGTTTGAATTCAGCTTCAGCTTCGCAAGTCCAATAACCATTCCTTGATGAAGCATGCATGGCATCTGATTGGCATCTTCGTCGCCTGAATTAGACCAAACCGAACGGTTTTGACGTGAATGATCTATGAAACTGATCTGACCTCCAATAGAAGAAATGAAGAAACGCCGGCTAATGCTGGATCGATTGCCAGACCTCAATATAAGGGATGGAAGCCGCAGTTTGTGGAACAAATCCTACGATTGGTTGTTCGGGGAAAGATGGAACTGATTGTAGTCGCATGATGTAACCGTTTCGTCGTGGTGGTAATTCCCAACAATATTCGCGGGAAATATAGTATTGTAGATGACTTCAGTTAGCTTAAATCGTGTGGGATAAAACTTAATCACTTCGCAGCATTATTTGCAAATTACATTCGCTTCTCCGCCAGCATTATACTCGTACCATGAAAGCACTCCAAACTTTCCTCATATCCGAGTACGCTTACCACATGCGGCTCGGCACGGAGAAGTCCTGGGGCACACCGTCATCGCTCCCGGGGCGGCTATGTAGTTGCGACAACTGGTCTAATTTGGTCCCAGTTCGGTACACGGCCAGCGGCGACGGGTGGCCGCCGACCTCCCGTGTCCTACAGTAGCTGATCTCGGGGGGCGAGGGGGCAGCTCTCTCGCTCATCGATCGGTCAGCTGGAAACTGACGGCTGTCGCAGCTCGCCCCGACCTCCGGGCGCCGCCGACGGGCGCGGCAGCTCGACGGCACTGCTGCGGAGCGGCTCCGACGGGCCGGGGGGGGGGGGGGGGACTGAGACGGGCGAACGGACTCTTGACAGGCGAACGGGAGAGACGGTAGGGGACGGGGGTGACTTACTTATGCACTGTATGCATGTAGTCGTCTGACCGGACATTTATGATGTTGGGAAAAAGTGATGAGCTGGCAGTTTGGGTCAGACTGACCCGTTTGATTGGGCTATGGTAATATCTACTTACATAAAACTAAACAAAAAACGAGTTACCGCTATGCGGCGAATGGACAGTGATGTGGTACGTACGTCGTACATGTTCACCTTCATTCACACGTAACATTTGGCATGAATGGATTAAGCGCCTAATTGCCTACATACCTATTCATAAGGACTACGGGTACATCAGAGAAGCATTAGTCTGACAGGCATAAGCTGTCACCTACCTACAGCTGCACACCTGCTAATGTGCCGCCAGTGCGTGGATAGGCATGCTTGCGATGAACGGAACGTCGGCCTAGCTTAGCCGCCCGACTGCTGTGTGTTGCTAGTAGGCAGTGACCTGTGCTGGACCTTTGTTGCTACACGGGCCGTTCCGGGCCGATCAGCCATCCCCGCCCGCCCTAGGCACACTCTAATATATGACGGCCTTTACCTGTGTTGGCCGTGCGCTGCCTATCAGTGGGACTGAGGGGAGGGGATCCGGGCAAACACAGGACTATCGCTCACTGTCCGCCGCCGTCACTAGTGACGTCAGCAGCAGGTGGGGAGTGACGTCACCCTCCACCCGTGAACGGCCACGAGCGCTGCGCCGCGCAGAGGTGACGTCACTTCACCTGTCCCGCTGACATACTGCGGGCTCCGTCTCAACACTGATGAGTGAGCGCTGAACGCTGACAGGAGGTAATTTTACGGTCCTTTTTTAGATCTAACTCGAAATAGCAAATTTCCAAGCTAGTTTACTGAAATACCTGTATGAGAACTGATGATAAGTAAAAATTGAACGTATTTTTTATCACGGGCAATCATAGAACAAAACTCTTGCAGCCAGACGTTTCGACCCTGGATGCTGGGTATCCGTCAAATAAACGTCCAACCACCATTGTAGTTTGACCAATTACCAAACCAGCTGCAGGTGCCTGAACACCGCAGCCATCAGTCTGGCTGCAACTGGAACCAACTGAAACGAAGCTGAAAACTAACTAGATTAAACTAAAACAACAATCAGATGAGTCGCGGAATGAGTACACCTGTCAACCCAAAGGTAGTGCGAGTGTAACAAAGTCACAACTCACAACTACATACGCTTCGACGCGTAATAGCGGCGCGGTCTCGACGCAATATGTGATTAATTTGTTGGCCTATATTAATTAATTAGTTTGGCTTATACTACACATATATGAGAACGGTGAAGTCCGTAAAAGCAAAGCAGAAGTCAGTGCAATTAAACCATGTTAATTAACTGCACCATAGCCAACCTATTGCAAGCGCCGCAAGTGAAGAAGCACTGCTGTACAGTGCACACGTTCACCATTATTTCATGTTCAGTGGGCTGCTTTGTGCTTATACTTTATGCTCAAAGCATTGAGCAGAACCCACAGAGCATGTGCTCTGTTATCGCCGGCTGGGTCTGCGACTGTGGCAATCTGAGAACATAAATCCAGCATGAGCCGTGGCTAATCCCAACATCAATCCACGATCAATTCGACCCGATCAGGATTCAGGGTTCGGTGATTCTGCATGAACCCCGGCATCAATTTAGGATGAGCCCCGAGTGGTCCCGGCACCAGTCTGCCATCGATCCGGCTCACTCCGGGTTCGGCGGTTCCACTTGACATCTACTGTGACCTGACTGTCCGAGGAAGATCAGACACGTGCCATCTGTAGCTCACAGGGTTAATCCAGGCCGTGGTGGCTGTCGGATGTCAGGGATCGGTTGGACGTGACGTCTTTGGTCCCAGCTGCCTGAGAGGCAATTTGCGCTCGGTGAACTAACTAGGAGTCAATGCCTGGAAGTGATTAAAGGCTGGCGGATTTCATCAGGATGTGCCATCTCCCGGAACAGCATAGGGTGGAGATAATTTGATTTGACTTCTGATGCAAATTGTTTTGAACATATAAGAGGTCAGTGGCATGCCGTGATCACTTCATATGCATGCTAAGATGTGGCAAAATGGCTCATGTACATCCACGATCATCTGGATCTGATCATTGTCATGGATTTTTAATGTTGCGAAACGAGAACTAATGATCATGCGGAACGGAAGTGGTGTACCTTAATGTCTTTCCGAGCCATTTTTTTATCATGACATCTGCAATGCCTAAATCCTTTCCGCAGTCCACATGTCGCAAGGCCACCCTGTAGCTATGTACCGCAATGCTGCTTCAAAGCCGCTTTGTCTTTCGGCCTTCAGGCTTCAGCCTCGGCCCTGCCATTCCTACTCTTATTCCGTTAGTAGCATTTCCTGGCCTCTGAAAACTCTTTCACGCTGCCACGTCCCATTTGCAATCGTCATGGATTGGTAGGTATCTCTCTTCTAACTCGGTCGTTTTCTCCCCAGTCGCCGGCGCTGCAGCGGCGGTCACCGATGCCCCGGCGCCACTTGCCGTGACCTCTGGTGACCTTCCTGTGACCGCGCGGTACCGTGGTGACCCGGAAGAGGTCAGCCATGACCCGGCGCGCCACAAGCGTCCGTCGGACGACACGCAGGTGGTGCAGGTGCAGGCGGACGCCCTGCTGGCACCGGCACCAAGCCGCGACAACATGTCCGACATCTACTTCATCGGTGAGTTGAGCCTTGATTGGTTTGCGTAGATAATTGCTATGCCCTTTGGTGATGGCTTTGTTCTTGGAATTTGATAAAAAAAAACTACGAAGCGAATCGGAACGAGTCTTTAGTCTAAAAAATAGGAAAAATCCTAAAACTAAAGATGGGATTCACGGAAGCATAATGCGCGAAGGCTTATACAAAGGAGGTCTTCCTCATTCGACCTTATATTTAACCTGTTTTTGACGTCATTTGCGCGTTACTTCGATCATACGTCACAGCTCACCTTTGACGTAGCAGTATTTACGCTATCAGACTCGTGAATTATGCTCCATTTGTCTTGATTCATTACGCATGAATTACAAAATGCAGCATTCGTTATTCACATTTCATCTTCTGAGCATAACTTTTAATGAATTCAAATGAGTTTCATGACGTTTTGACAGGATGGCTGGATCGAATATTTCCAGTTATTTCTTCTTATGACAGGATGACAGGATGACTGGATCGAATATTTCCAGTTATTGCTTCTTATGATGGAATGACCGACTCTTCGCATATCTTCCATTACGGGTCCCATAAGTTTGGTGCATGACCCGACGTTTTCAGTTTTATACGTTGTTTGAGTTCATATGGTGGGTAGTCCCACCGCTTGTAAGTATAGCTGTTTGAAACTGCAGACTCAACAATCACGTCTTGACTTCGTCTTTTTTTGGGGGGGGGGGATATGAACCGTTTTGTAGGTACTCGTAGCTTCACAGTTGGTATGGTGCTTGAATCTGTGATTCTGCTGCCTGTGTGCTGTTTGAAACCGTAACCGAGCAGTGTCTGCCGTTTGGGCCGTGCTCTCGCTACTCTCACCTTCCCTCCATACTCTGAAGGTTTGGTTTTCTTCCAGTGACTGTGGCAGGAGTTTGCGCCATGGCGGTCGGTGTAACGGTGGCTGGAGGATTCTGCTACCACCGGTGAGGCCCGCACATAATTATTGGTAAACGCTGCGCCACGACAGCACACTATCATATTCATAGGTGTGAACTGTGAATAATTGTACACATAGCCAAGCACAGACCGCATATCTTGCCGTTTCTCCGTCTGATACTTTATGCTGGCCATTTATTTATAGATAACACTTAACAGCAATGGCAAATGAACTGAGGTCGGTATAACTATACGAAATCTGCACAGTGCACAGTTAAATTTAGCGGTCTTGCGCGCCTGCCTGTTATGCCCCATGCGGCGCACCAAGGTACTGCTCAGCAAATTTAGTCAACTCCAGGCTCTCAGTCTCACCTTCCCTCCAAGGCAAAACTCCAAGTTCCTTCAACGTCGTAGCCACTTGCGACTACGGCGCAGATCCGGAGGGCTTTGTTTGCTCTGAGTTCTGCGAAGAGCCCCAGCTGCCAGCAGTACAGTAACTTTGCCCATTAACCACTCACACGATGCCCAAGAGCATCGATCGGCGTTTCTAGGATACCTGACCGGAAGCGGCTTTGCGTTCGTAATTGAGTTGATAGTAGAGCCTAGAGGGGCTGCTTGAGTGCCTGCCCTCAAATGTGACGTGTTTTAAAACGCAGCCAGATGCGCTCCAACCTTTTTTGACTCTTCATGTTTGACGTGTTCGCTGTGTGTTTCTAGGATGCAGAAGCGCTCGAAGGCCGCCAGTGACGCCGAGTATCCTGCGTACGGGGTCACGGGTCCCAGCCGCGACCTTAGTCCGTCTGGGGACCGCAAGCTGGCCCAGTCGGCCCAGATGTACCATTACCAGCACCAGAAACAGCAGATGATGGCCATGGAAAAGTGAGTATTTCGTTGATTGTCATACTCATAGGTACTCGATAACTCAACTCCCCTCTTCATCTGAAGCGACGTTCTGTCTCTGTTTCCACTCGCCCTTGTCTTTGCATCCGTCTCTGTATCGATATCTGTGCCTGCAGGTCTCTCTCTCTCTATCTCTCTCTCTCTCTCTCTCTCTCTCTCTCTCTCTCTCTCTCTCTCTCTCTCTCTCTCTCTCTCTCTCTCTCTCTCTCTCTCTCTCTCTCTCTCTCTCTCTCTCTCTCTCTCTCTCTCTCTCTCTCTCTCTCTCTCTCTCTCTCTCTCTCTCTCTCTCTCTCTCTCTCTCTCTCTCTCTCTCTCTCTCTCTCTCTCTCTCTCTCTCTCTCTCTCTCTCTCTCTCTCTCTCTCTCTCTCTCTCTCTCTCTCTCTCTCTCTCTCTCTCTCTCTCTCTCTCTCTCCTTCCTCCCTATCTCTAGCTCCGGACACTGACCCTAGCCGTGGGCGGTCTTGTCCCGCGAGGGCTTCTCCCAGGCTGTTTCCAATTACCAGGACGTGGGCGGGACGGGTCAATTACCGGCCAACAGGGGTCGCCAACGGCCGTAATGGAGCACGGGCATACCACTGGGGATGGAACGAATCACAGGGGACGGAAACATCACAGGAAGCGGATAACATCACAGGCGTAGACAGTATCTGGTGATGCGCAGGATGTAAAAAGATCAGAAGGCAGTGACCGTCACTGGAAGACGCTTCTATTAGACAGACATATCTGAAGAATCACGAAGTAGAGATTTGTCGAGAATACTCCGTTTCATTTATTTCATATATCGTTTTCTTTGGATAAAAACGGGCCGCCAGCCTTGGTTATATCTATATGGCCTTGGTTATATCCGTCTATCTCCCGTGCGCACTGATCTGTGACCTTTGGTGGCCTCCAGTGACCTCTGCTGACCTCTGCTGACCTCTGCAGGACCCATAACGGCCGTCACGGCTCTGCTTCTGACGTGGACTCGGAGGAGGAGAATGAGGAGGGCGACTACACCGTGTACGAGTGTCCTGGACTTGCCCCGGTGAGTATAACACCGTGTATGAGTATCCCGGCCTTTCCCCGGTTAGTATACACCTTGTACGAGTGGCCTGTGTCCTTCCGAATGTCCTGGACTAGTCCCGGTCAGTGCAACACCATATTATATGAGTGTCCTGAACTCGCCCCGCTTAGCACCTATACACGGTGTACCGGTGCACTGGACTCGTCCCGGTCAGCTTATACACCGTGTGCCGAATGTCCTAGACTTGCCCCGGTCAGTATACACCGTGTGCGAGTGAGTTTTCATTCAGATGCATGTTCACCGCTTATCATTTCGTGCATCGAGACACCTAACTACACATCACACGATCTGTTCTCTCAGTCGGTGGCCGGGTGGCGACCCGTCTGTTTGGCGCCGCGTCCGATACCACAGCTCGTCCAATCGGCCCTGTATTGGCCGCCGGGCTCGATCGATCCGTGTATCGGTCGTGATTGGCTATAAAACTGCGACCGGTCACCGGCGGTGTTGTGTACTCACGATCACATTGCGATGGGCTGGCGATCGGGCACACTGTCCGTTGTTAGTGTCCGATGTCCGCTCTCTGTGATCCGTTGTCCGTTGTCCGTCGTCTGGTGTCTGATATCTGATGTTCTTATTTTTCTTTTCTTTTTTGTCTGATGTCCGCTGTCTGATATCATCATCATCATCATATTTATTTGACATCCTTTGAGGACAAAACAAGGAGAACATATCTTCATAACATAACCGTGACACATGAAGATACAAACACAGCACGGCACAACAAAGACCTATCTGATATCTATCTGACCTATCTGATACCTATATGATATCTGATGACCGCCTTTTGTGACCAGTATTTGACATCCAGTACCTATGCGATATCTGGCCCACTTTGTGTCTCACTGTCTGCTGTCCTATGACTAGTTATCCAGCTCTAACGGGAGGTGCCTCCAGCATCCATCCCTCTGAATTGCTCTTCGAACTATATGTAAGCAGCCTGGTCTAACCGACCCGGCTGAACCCCGCTCAAAGAACGCCACTGGTGCGCGGATTACCGGTGGCACCAGCCATAGGTCGGGCCGTCGCGGGCGGCGTTCTTGGTAACCCGGGGCGACGGTGCACTGCGCTCCCAGCTCCCGGAAGATCAGCTCAATGGACCACTAGTCGCGAGCTATTTACGTCCCAACGAGTCGGAACTTCATTGAGAAAATCGTCAACGTTTTATTTGTGACAAACTTTGGCTGAAGTAAAGGGCAAGAGAGCGTAGAAGTTTGGTGACCTTTGAGTAGATCTTATCTCTACCTAATATAGGCACGAACATGCTAGGCACGGAAGAGCATTGTAATCCATCAAGCCCGTAAATAAAAAAACTACCAAATTTAATGTGATGCCGATGAAGCCAGTTAGGTAGGCATTGCATGAACTAAAAGAGTTCATTCTCTTTCTGGCACATTTAAATTTTAATAAGTTGTATGATTGATTACAAAAACTCCCTAGCCCTAGCAATTGTTGGAAAATGTGTTCGACGGTCGAATCCCATGAGAATGAAATCCAGCATACAGTCGCGCTCGCGCTCGCATCACATCACGTCAGTGTGCCTTTTGAATTCCGACAGCTTTATGATTTGATCGCGTATAATTGACAAACTGGAAGAGGGCTCTTGACGTGCCTCGAATCCTTCAGTGTATGTGCAGTGCGGTGCTGTTTTTTGGCTGCGTACTTATCCTCGAGTGCCTATAATTATAATTGATGTCAACGTGCAGAACTAACCTCGAGCCTGTGAGTGGTGTAATACAATAAGCTAATTTAGACAGGTGGTCAATCTTCCATTAGAAAATAATATTTTGCCGAGTTACGTTGTCCCAGGGCCAGGTCTTTAACGACGGTGCAGTAGTTAATAGGAAACGATAATGATAAAAATCCTGAACTATTTTACCTTTCAAAATTTCAAGCGTATTTTACAAGGAGCTTTACATTATCGCAGTCACCATGCACCACGCACTAACCCATTGTTTGCATTTTTATTCAACAGACCGGGGAAATGGAGGTGAAGAACCCGCTGTTCCAGGACGACCAGACTCCGGCGCCACCCGCCGCCAGCGACAGCAAGTGAGCGGCCGGCGACGGTGGCGCTACCTGCGCCGACTGCGCCGGGATCGGTAGCGCCACCTGGAGCAGGGTTCGTCCCTGTCGGAGCAGTGGCCGGCCGGCCGGCGGGAATATTGAGTCCACAGCGAGAACGGGACGCGGCATACGAGCACAGCCTGCGTCATCAGTCAGCCTGGCTTCTATTATCCTGCTAAAATAAAGTTATTAGCCCATGACCGTATACTGTGCGAGCATAGAGATAAAGCTATTTTCATATGACGTCATCGTAAATAGGCTTTAATCGTCAATAACCGGATGTATGTTATTATACTGGTAATGTTGCGTACTCCATGAAATTTATTTTCGTATGAATTGTTCTCCACGGCAATGCTGCACAAGCCTGTGTTTGCCGAACACATTGAAAACTCATATGGGCTAGCATGCACAAGAAGAAACAAAGTAATGCATTGTTCCCTATTAGGTACGCATAATGACATTCACAATCAATGTCCTTAAAAACATAGCTGCATTTAGACAGCTTCCTCGAAGACATATGTAATATACACACCCAACAGCCAAACGACAGGTCCATCTTTCACGGAGTAGAACACCACACCTGGCTTTGTTTTGGCAAAGGTGAAAACAAGCAGATTTTCGGCGTGTTATTTATGAAAGGTCAAACGTGTTCCCATTTATTTGGCTTTCGAGAGAGAATTTTGATTCTCATTTCTGTCATAATTTACATATATATATCTGGCATCTCGTTTAGGCAAAACTAGGTACCTTGTCTTGATAAACAAGATCGGCGCAGGAGTCCTGTAATTGGATTTGCGCTGCTTACCGCCCCTCGATATGATTACTAAAGTTCTATCAAAAAAGAATGAGTGGTATGTAGTGGTAGACGATAGTATACGCAAAGTTAGGCATTGTTTTCAAATCTCAGCGCAGTCATGCCCCTGAGTCAATCCAGTCCTGGGCGAGCACTGGCAGCAGTATGAAGCCATTAGAAGCCATTGCGTGGCTTTTTAGTAACAGTTCACATTAGCAGGATAGCAGGTAGGTACCGTATCTATGGTTTATGGCTTTTCTAACACATTTTGACATATTGCTTCTTGTTCGGGTGGCACAAGCACAACGGTGACATAAAGAAAATTCAAGAGTTATTAGCCTGATACCATCATTTTTGTCTTTTTTAATGAACGACACGATTAAATACTAGCCGGGGCGGTAGCCGGGGCGACACGAACTACAGCCGGGGCGGCTATAGTTCCTAGAATAGTGTGATGATTGTCGAAAAAATCCAGTCACTTAAGATCAGAAGCTCCATTAGAGAAGGAATCTAAACCATGAAACTCAATAACGAAACGGTTAAGTTTTTTTTTTTTTTGGCCGAGACATAGCGCGTTTGAGCTTACAAGAATGATTTAGTTACGGGCTTACCAGTGCCAGTTGATTGTAACGCATCAAATAGTAAATTGGGTTAAATGTGAATGTAAGTAGGTACACATAGCTCTTCAATGTTAATGGACATTCAAACTCTACAATTTAACCTAAGTTGGCTCTTAGCTTACTTTACGTTATTTTCTTATCCAAAGAAAGGGCAGATTAATCATCTGCAACCGACGCAGCAAATGAAACTATTCCATTGACTGAAATTTTCCGAAGAAAAACACGCAAAAACTGCAATTCATCCCAAGAGAAGCATCTGGATTGATACACTACATACTAAAAATATGTTATGCGTTGAAATAATTACAGCGTAGTCTTCTGTGTAGTGTCAAGTAACCAACCTCAAAGCGTAGATGCTAAAGCTGTAGCTTTACCGGGTCTGCATCTACCAAATAACAGAACCTATGTGTATTTATTTCGTGTGTCTGTGATGTCGTTACCAGATAATATGACGGGTGCCGAGCCAATATAACCTTGCATGGACCGCTTTTGTCGTTAGGTATCGTGCATATCGGCCGGGGCGCCGTCGACCGTCTCGACTGGCGTGTGATGTGGATGTGCTATCCGTATTAGCTCGTAAGTCGGCCAGCAACGGTGTTATGCCAGTTAGTTACGTAGCTGTAGTCCTGTGTTATATGGCAGACGCACTGTCTGATGAATACGCTATTTTCTGCAGTCTTTTAGCGCTCGTTGAAATGTTAGCCGATGTAGCTATCGTTTCCTGAATCTCTATTCTTCTTGACGTTTTCGTGGTGAAAATCTATAAAACAGTAAGAGAAGTGGCTATTTTACCGTAGGAATTAGTTATAGCGTAGGTTGTTAGTTTGGCGCTCGCTGTGTCGTGCATCGTTCGGCGACGTGAGGCCCACGCTGCGTTCTGTCGTGTCTGTTGATGTACTGCAGCGATGGTGTAGAACAACCCGTGCTCTGTCTTTTCTATCAGTACCTATCGGTGGGTGGCATTCCGTCTAAGTAAACTGTCGGAATCGTGGGCGTTCCCGTTGCTTCGTCTATGGTGTTGGTATCGGTGACCGGTGTGGTCCCTGCTCCGTCTTTTCTATAGGTATCGGTGACCGGTGCGGTCCCTGCTCCGTCTTTTCTATAGGCATCGGTGGCCAGCCCCTGTACCACCGCTCTCAATGGGCCAGCCCCTTCCCTCGTGTGCGCCGAATCCGTATCGGTGGCGGGCTCTTGCTCCGTCTCTGTTCTGTGGGCGCTGGAACGCTGTATCGCTCTTTCTAAGCGTAAAGTCGCTATCGAGGTCCTGTTCTCTGTTTTGTGGGGACGTCAGAACGCTGAACCGCTCGTTCTGCCGCGCTGTGCCGGCGGTGTACCTGAATGTGCCACGTGTCTACTCGGAACAGCGATGTGTGTTCTGTTCGTCTCCTGTGCAATAGTTAACTACTGTACGGTGAATTTCGGATTCTGTCACTCTTGCGCAAACAGTATTGGCATTAGTTTATACAACGAACGGTGGTGTACTTTTCCCGGTAACAGCTATTCGGCTAAAGTTATTAGGCATGTGTCAATTTATCATCCGGCCTAACGTCATCGAACTACTTCTAATTTTGAGTGTTTTGTTGTAAGCAAGAACACCATCTATTTACTCGAATATTCGTCTGCGAGCGATAACCGAATAATGACATTCTATCCATGGCCATGACATGCAATCTATCCGCGATAGTCTATCCATCCATGGCGTGCTACCCATCCATGGCATTATATCCATCCCGATTGCGCACAAACTGATCGATAATCCATCTTAAGGTAACTTTGTGCGAAAAAACTTATGTTTAGGAAATGGCAGAGTAATTAATATCGGCGAAATAACATTAGCCTATTTGACAGCAGATAAAGCGAAACACTTCCCTTTCTTATATCACAATATCCAAAGGCAATGTCTTTCGCTGGTTCGCTGTGCTACGATTATAAGTCCGGGTAGATAAACGCCGTTTGTGTTATATAAGTGGATAACCGATAATTGGAACCCGGAATAATAGAGGAAGCTGAAATCAGTCCTTTGCCATTTAACTAGACCGGAACTCAATTTACCAAGTTTTGAGTTTGATTAAAACTGGAGAAATTAATGCCAATATGTGATTTTCTCCATATGAGAAACAGGTAAAACTTCCGGAGGATTAAACCTGAATTGAAAATGCTTTCAGTTACGAGGAATAAACTTTTGAGTTGACGACAAATTTTACGCCTGTTTCGTGCAGTGAAGCAATTACGAGTATTTCTGTCCAATGGATATTTGAAGTGTATGGATGACAAACTTCGATCGAAAGATCGAACAGGTGTCAAAGACAAATTATATCGATCAATTACAATATCGTCGTGGGACCGGGATTGCCCGTGCCATCTCATTTCGCGCTCATTCACTCGTAACGAAGAGATTTGGTGGATTGACAAAGCACGAATGGCATTAGTTGCTCGTCTTAATGACCATATTTGCTTAAATGATCTTCTTGAGCTATAAAAAGTACCAATAATTGTCGCCATTTCATTTCAGTCGCTAAATGCAAACGGTAAATTCGGTTTATTGCAGACACGTCATCTCACCATCAATCCGTTACATACAAACTGACTCGCGGTGTGGTTATATCAGTCAGGGCGCACGTTCGCTTAGACCAGGCTTGGCCTCAGAGGGCTAATTACCGACCAGAGGTTGAGGCATACACACCGGTCATCGAAAGTTGACAGTACAGGTAGCGTCAATACGTTCTCTAACGTATATTGGCTCTCTGATTCTCGGCATCAATCATCATCGGTTACGTTACATACAAACTGTGACTCGCGTTGCGGTTACATCAGTCAAGGCGCACGTTCGCTTAGACCAGACTTGGCCTCAGAGGGCTAATTACCGACCAGAGGTTGAGGCATACACACCGGTCATCGAAAGTTGACAGTACAGGTAGCGTCAATACGTTCTCTAACGTATATTGGCTCTCTGATTCTCGGCATCAATCATCATCGGTTACATTCCACAGTCCACATATTCTCTGGACCGTCCACGTTATGCCGTGGACGCCGGAAACAACGGACACACTGTTACGTTCGCTTCAGTCACTCGGTCATATTGTGGGGGCCGAGGTTCCGACTGTCACCCCAGCCGACCACCCTGCAGTCACAGACATGGTCACAGGCATTACACAGACATGGTAGCTTGTTGCACAACCTTGCAATAATCGTCGGTACATTACAGACATGCACCTGGTGAAAAATATCAGAACGGAGAAGGAGCACTGATGTGAGAAGCTGTTTGTTCGTTTCGCAATTTTATCTGCCCAATTTTGATATAAGACTTATGAGTAATATCCCTCTAACCTCTAGAGAGTAGACGGTAGTAGACATTTTTAATTCGGCCGACATTCATTCTAGACATATAACAGCAGTTTATCGCGCATTTAATATAAATGGCAAAAAAATCCAGCACATTGCTGAACGAGCTGCTGAAAAGAGCAGCATCGCCAGTATTAGCACCTGCTGAGTTAGTAACCGCATCATACACCTGACTTACTTGGAGTAGGATGAAGCTTAGCTCGAGCACTGCTTGACCTCCTTCACACAAACGAGACCTCGCAGCTGGAAGAGCACCGATCCATGAGAAACGGAGCCAGGTAGAGCGAACTCTGAGCACATTTCGGCCTCGAACACTGCATGGCCGAACGGTGAGTCTTTGAGCTCAGCTCACGCTGTCATTTCATCGTTACACTGTCCTTGAGCAGATTTCACCACACGTGTATTCCGCGCATCACCGAATGCGTGCTGCTAGTGCTGTCAGTCTATCACGCTGGTCATTCCCATTGTAAACATCACTGCAGTCCACTACCCTGGGCGGATGCAGACGTGGTCTTGCCAGGTCTGAAAGAGTCCTAGAGCACATGGATCACCTTGTCTGATCCACATGCTCGTCCAAATCGAAGTTCGAAGGGTCATCACTTCTCCTGCGCCACACTCCGTCTGCTGCGGCGGCCCCTGCTCAGCAGACCGGCCTCGAAGCGTTCACGCATTTCCTCCACCCTGTGTTCTGCACCCGTGGGACTGACAGGCTCCCGGCCGCCGGCGACGTACGCGCCCTCTACATCAGCCGCCGCCGACCGGCGCGACACCTCGCGGCTAGGCGAGTAAGCTGAGCCGCGAGGTCCGAGCGGGCTGTGTGGTCGCTCTCTGCCGACGCGAATCGCTCTGCGCCGGGCAGGACTAGCCTCTCGCTCCGGCGGCAGCTGGGAGACGCTCATACTGAGCGAGTACACCTCCGCCGGACTCAGCTGGCGGCGGCGTGCCGGACTCACAGAGTCCGAGTCAGGCGGGCTCGGCTCGCGAGCCACCGGGAACACCATGGGGAACCCGGAGTGTTCACGGGAGTGGGAGCGGCGTCGCGAGCGGTGCCGGCCGTGGCGGCTCGTTGGCGGACGGTTGGCGGTGTATAGAGCCGCGGCCTGTTCGGTAGCCGTCTCTCTGCAGCGAGAGGAGGAGCGGCGCCGGTGGCGACCACGCGGCTCCGGTCCGAGAGAGTAGGGAGAGTCCGTCTCTGAGGAGAGCAGGGAGTCGGCACGCTCCAGGCCGCCGCGCAGTCCCGGCACGCGCACACGCAGGCCAGAGAAGTACGGGTCATCTGTGGACAGTCACGGTCATTTAAATCGGCAAAGGTAGGTAGATATGATCAAGAGACAAGAGGAGACCAACGTTTTCTCCTTGCAGTGGTTCACAAGGGTCAAAGTAAGTTGACCCTCGACATGCAGTCGTAATAGAGGTATGGCAACGAAGAACTGTGGTATAGATATTACCCCTCGCACTCATGGGGAGAGTGGGGTCGGATGAACCCTTCTCCGATTTTCGTTAGTAACTCGCTTAAAAATTGGCGGATTGCGACGAGCTTTTATATAGAGACATCATGGCAGACTAATGAAAGCAGCTAGAATGTGTTCAGCTCAATAATATTGATTGATTGATATGACAATCTTTTAGGTTAGATCATGACCTGGACATGAGGTCAAATATTCAAGTTTACCTTTTAACCATCGCCGGCACAGGGTTAAACCGCCGCCGGCACAGTTGATGCACCCCCATCCCCTAAGGTTTTTCGCGAAAAAGCGGCTGATCGCGACGAAACTTTCAGTACCCTCGCATTGATCAATTTTACACCTACCCTGAAAATTTCATGACCCTGACCCAAATGACCTTTGACCTGTGACGTCTTTTCCGAGACCATGTTTGACCGGAATCGCGATTCGGCGTATGTCGGCTCGCATTAGCCGCGCGTTTGCAAGCTTTTCGTGGTTTCAAACGTTCAAACATGTGATTTGATGTTGCTCTCATGCATAAGGGTGGGTGCCAAGGTCACCTGAAGGTCAGGTCAGGTCATTGACCTTTGGTGACCTCGGTTCACTTTTTCGAGTTTTACATGTTTCTAGGCTAGTTTTTGGAGCTGAATTCGAATTTAGCAACAATTTGAACATTTACGAAGTAGTTTTGGTGCCTTCGTAACATGTTACGAAGCTGTCAGAGGTGGATGACAGGTACTACGAACACCCTTCACGACCCCTACCGGTTGACCTGACCTGACGTGACCTGACCTGGTCTAAACGCTTAACAACATCATCTGTGATAAAAACTAACACGATATTCGTGATCAGCACTCCAGAAAACCCCTTAGCAGCCACACTTTACGACTTTCTAACAGGTCCCGATATTCCCGATTTTTGGGTCATTGACCTGACCTGGAAGGTCAACCGATGACCTAGGACCTTAAATTGGGTATCATCGGCTTCCTCTCGTCACGGGCAACACGCTCGTTTTTTCTGCGAGGCTCTAGCTCCGATCAGGGACCAAACGCGAGGGGGGGTCGTATGTAAGTACACCGCCCCCCCCCCCCTTGTGCCGTCGAAGGACTCAAAATGGCCTGTGCCGGCGAGGGTTAACCCTCGCCCGTAAACGGCGATCTGCCACCTTCGCCCATGCAGGGGGGGGGGGGTTGGTGCGACCCCCCCCCCTTGGCGTTTGAAAACGGAGCGTCGTAGAGCTTAGCGGAAAAGACCAACGGATTGCTCTCGCCGAGATCTCGCGATTGGTGGTATATTTTTTGGTCCTAGGTCAACATTTGACCTACTTTTGACCGGTCAAAGGTCAAATTTTCGGAAAAATAGACTTTTTTCAACTTTCCGCGGCGATTGCGGCAAAACGGTGGGAGATATCGACTTGAAACCTTCACTATCGTGTTCCTTGATCAATTCTCTATCGTTTGGTATGTATTTCGTTTCCCTAGCTCTAAAAATGGCGCGTTGGGAGCGCCGGAAGTCGGCAAGGTCACAGTCCGCGGCAGAAATTCGAAAAATCAAAATTTAAATTTTTGAAATCTGATTGTATTTTTGGATTTGGGAGGTCCATTTGCTCCCTATAGAAGCTAATATTGCTGCATATTCCCATTGAGGTGACAAGAATTAGCAAAATAGTGGTTCGGGCGCTTTTCAAAAATAGTACCGGACGCTGTTCCTCTTGTGACGTCATAGCTCGGTGACCTGACCTGACCCGGTCAAGTTTCTTATACCATATGATAGCCAATACTTGCCCCAACATGCATGGGAAGTTTCATCACGATCCATCAACCGATGTTCGTACCACCGGCAGGAAACCTCGGGCATTGGCACTCAGTTTGTGAAAATCCGGCCGGAGGCTGTTCCCTTTGTGACGTCATAACTCCGTGACCTGACATGACCCGGTCAAATTTTTTTTATCAAAAGATGCGCAAGGTTTGCCCCATAAGGTACCCAAAATTTGGCGGCGCTGCGCGCCGCCGTTTTTGCACTATTTCCGAAAAACCTCAGGGGGGGGTTGCACCAACCCCCCCCCTACATGGGCGAGGGTTAAGGTTAGATATAAATAAGCAATTCGACTTGTCACAGCGAGACTAACGCGATGCTGGTAAAATAAATATCAAATCATACCAAAGTCCGTCTATTTTGGCGGCTCTCGCCTTCTGTTGGTAAATGGCCCGAGGTCAAATTTAGGGACATGTGGGCAGGAGAGCATGGAAAGAGCCATTAATTATTTTTCCCTCGGCGATTTGGCTCTTTTATTTCACGAGAAATGACTGAGTGGATTTATGAAAAATTATCTAAATCGAGAAGCCGTTACGGGAAAATGCTGCGCTGATGACCTCAACATTGACCTACTCGTATGCGTAAAATGTCCTATGTCCTATATACTTCTGAATAAACATGCAAAGAGCTATCAATGAATCTTTATTGCGCATCTGCATTGCATGTACTGGAGGCCCATCGAATTAAATGCAGCACAATGACCATACAAATTGGAAGGAAAAGAACACACTACATTGCAGATAGCATCAAACAACATTGTGCGACCGTCTCTGTTCATATACACGCCTGGATAGGTAGAGGGCACACGCCATCGTTCAAGCTATACTTACATAAAAGCCGGCACATTGTCATGAACACTTCCGTCAAATGACGCTTCAGAAGAAACTCGGTAAGAGTTTTTGGTTGGGACAATAAATACATGAAACATATAGCTATACTGTGCTTTACAGCACTACCTTCTCACAAATGTCTTCAAATGTGTTTAAAGCCAGTTTAAATACATCCAAGACGTTTGGAACCACATGGATTAGATTGATTTCGTTAAGCTATGTAATTTTGTTTTCGGGAATGAAGTTACAAATAAAATTATTCATATACCTGTTTATTGATCATGAAATCAAATCATCGAAATTGTTAAAATAATCATTTTGGCCCCAACATCTGAAGCTTAACCGTGACCAGTCTGTAGTGTAACGTGAATACACAAATCATACCATACGGAACGATCACCGGCAGCGGTCGTCTGAGCGTCGGGCTGCTCTCGTATATCAGAGCCGACGCAGGATTCTGAGCAGCAGCAAGGGGTAGCGAACACCTACTTCCCAGTTCTTCATAACACAAATACACACACCCACCCACACGCACACACACCAGTCATGTTCGGTGCTCGCCCGTACGTAGACGCAAAACAAAACGATCATATGCCGCACACAACCGACAAAAGAACAGCCTGCTATTCTTCGATGCAAATAGTGGCAATGCACACAATATCAGGCGGTTTTACACATAATTATGCAACTCCGCTGGTGAAGTCGCTGACATCAGTCAACAGTTCAGCTTCACCCGTTTGGAATTACGAACTGCAAGACTTTATATCTTTGCCGCGCGATATTATACCATCGCGGCTTACTTAACCATTAAAATAAGAATACTAAGCGCCTGCGGGATGCAGGCAGGCACCCTCCCACTCTGACAGGCTGAGAAACATGCCCCACTCGGCCAGCACGGCTTCTCCAGTCAGCATGTTCCCGAGCTGGTTTCAGCGCGCTGACAATCGCGTGTTGAGGTCCTCCATCAGTCCTCAGAAGGTCCCTCGGCACTCTGCTGAGGCGCGCGGTCCCTGGTGCAGTCCCGGCCCCAGATCTGTCCCGCTCACACTATCACAGGCAGGTCACGTCCCGCGCCGCTCAGTCTGCCGCCCCCGCCCCCGCCCGCTGAGGGCGGCCGGCGCTGCTCTCGGTATGGGCCAGCACTCCAGTCCGTGCTGTCACCGCCCTCTCCCACTGAGACCCACCATAGGCGAGCCCCAGTCGGCTCCATCAGTGTCCTGTCACCGAGAGGGGCGGCGTCCTCCAACACACACACACGGCGCACTGCAGACGGTCGCGGCGCGTCACTGCCAATTGGAGACGTACATGGCGCGCCGTTGCTGGAAGGAGACCGGTACGCGGTTCGGCACTACGTTCCAGTTGTAGAAGCGCGCGTACGGCGACTCCTCCGCATCAGGGTCTGGAAAAACGGAGCTCGCAGTTAGTATTGCCTGAAAATATTCATGATTTGGCTAAAGATGAATGTTGCAATACATTTTTCCGGATGTATTGCAACGTTATTTTCATCCGCAATGATGCTATCGTACATTATGAGTATGTACTTCAAAAATGAATCACCGCACAGCAAGGGACAACTAGGTCGTGTCAACTGAGCGGTAAAACGTCAAAACATATCAGGCTTAAAATTCTATTATCAGCACGCACACTTCCGTTGTCCCCGTTTTGTCGTGAAATCGGTCTGCTGTCGCGGTGCAAAATGGTCGTGATATCCGGCGCTTGGTCCGTGAGAACGTCTTTCGTGACTTTAAGATTTAAATGAGCAAAGCGCAATGAGTTTGAAACTAGATAGGATGTCCGACATATGTCTATGTATATCTCTTTTGAAACTTAAGCGGAATGTTGCTTTTTAATATAATGCAGCGATAAATAAGCTTGATGCATGCTGTTATTACATGTAAGCTTATAATAAGCACTTTGAGGCCACATTACATATGTTACGACATGAACTATAGGTTTAAATCTCAACAGTTCATTGAGTACTTTAAGGCGAGTGCAATGCATACAATTTATATATTAAAAGCAGTTAGTTACGCGCAGATATATACATGTAAACATATGCACCAAAATATGTTGCCGGGTCACGTACCTTATGAGTCGAGTCGTGGAGTCGAAGTCAATGAGTCGTCACTGAGTATAGTCACCGGCGCAGCACCGGGTCAGTCTAAGTCTCGTGGTCTAAATTCCATTCCGTCACGGTCAATGCTAGTCACAAAGTGTTCTCAACTGTGCGCTAACCACGCCCACAACATTGACCACGCCCCCATCGTCCATCGTGCCTCAGCGTAGGGCCTCCCGCGGCACGTGTCGACACGCGTCAGAACGTGCCCGTCGTCTCGTGTCGCTAGTGCCGGCCCGTGTCGGGGTCTGACCGCCGCGGCCGGCGACCGCCCCGAAATGGCGCGCCGGTGGGTCGCGGTCGCGCGAAAGGTCACTTCGGTCGGTCACGGTTGGTATTTAACGTAATGAACGCGCGCCGTGCAAGACAGAGTCCGAGCCGTCTGGGGTCGAGTGGCGCAACAGCAATGTCGGAACTTTACGGACCGCTTCAGTCTGAATATGCAAGAGCCATCCAGTCATATTCCGGTCGAGCGAATGCGCCATTGTCGGTTAAGTCTTCAGGTCAGGTAGAATAGCGTTCGTAAAATACCGCAGATTGTTCATAAAAGTTTGTCTTCAAAAGTAATTCATATTCGTGACCACTTGATCTCATTGAAGTCAGGTCAGGTCAGGCTAGGTCAGGTCGAGCCAACGTCACCACCAGTCTGTTTCGTCAGTCATGTGGGTCATTCGCCCCTTACACCGGTGCAAACTATCACCAAACAGTCAGTCAGTCGGAAAAAAACATGCACATAGACAGGCATCGAGAAGGAGACAGATTGCCGGCATGCGAAGGCAATCCGTGAAGTGCGTTAACGCGGCTTTAATTACCCATTAGCCTTACCGGCGCACTCGCAGTGCAGCCCACCGGTGTATAGGAGTGGAACGAGCGATCACTGCTGCGGCCGACCTGCCTCGTCGCAGTATCGCTCCCACTCCCAGTCGACGGCTGAACGGAGACACAGCCGAACAGAGACAGGGAGACAAGAGGGGGAGCACCGGGTCAGAAGACATGCGGTGAGACGGGGAGGGGACCGACCGCGCCAGGTTATGTAATGTGTGAATCGCACAGCTCGTACAGCAGGCAGACTGGGACACATGCAAGACGTCCATCCAATGCCATACCTAGAATGGTGGTATTGCTATGGCTAGATTTGGTTAGAAGGTATCCTCTTTGACGAACGGAATCAATTTCTCTTTGAGGATTATCTCGTGTTAATTTCTCATGTTCTACACCAATAACGTTAACCATTAATTAATAATTTTGACTTCATTAGCACTTTTAAGCTTGAGTTGCAGGAATAATGTTAACTATTATGCAGACGTAGGGGTTATATTTTCAGAAAATGGTTATATCGTACATCTAGAACAACATTTATCTAACTTACCATGTTGCATTGGCATGGGTTGGACGTAAGAGACGGGATTTTGCGCCAGTCGGTTCATGTTAGGCAATGTACCGAACTGCATCCGGGCTCCTGTGCAGACCAAAGGTCAAAGACTGGTCAGCAAGCGGGTCAGACCGGGGTCAACCAGCGGGGACCTCACGGGACAAAATGGACCAGCAAATATTACACCGGGGGCAGCCAATAAATTCGAATTTACGAATCTCTATAGCTACAACAACATTAGACATTTGAGTGATGACACTGGTGTAAAGGAAGTTTCCGAATTGGTCCATTTTGCCCTTGAGGTCAACCGGTGCATCATTCCGTGCGAAGTGCGTGCTAAAGTAGGTACAGTGGGGAACAAAAGGGTTCATGGTGGTGCAATGTATCGCCCCGAAACCTTCGACCCTGTCGTGCGGAGGGGAAGAGCACGAGACTTGCCCATAGTCACAATCCTTGAGTCTGTTCATGCACCACAGTTTGTCACAGAGCTTGTCATGCAGATAGCAGAGAAGTGCAAGACTGTTCCAACCCAACCAAACCAGCTCCCCGAATCTCCACGCCTTGCCAGTAAACGCCACACCCCTCTCATTGTTTTCCCCACCAGGGAGTTCCCATGACCCTCCGAGGGCAGTAGCCACTCACCCATGGCCGGGTCGTAGCCGGCTCGCTGTTGCCACATCTGTGGTTGGTGCTGCAGGGTGGCGTGCTGCATGGGGTGCGCCGGGGGCAGGTAGCCGCGCATATCCCTGGGGTCCACTGGCAGACGAGGGTCGCCCCGCAGCTCGCGAGGGTCCCGGCCCGCCGACGGGTCCTCCTTGGAGCCCTTCGACTTGACAAAGTTGGGCACACGCGCCTGGAAGCCTCCGTAGTAGAGCTCATCTGAAAATAGGAAAGAGTGATGGGTCAACATTTGTTAAAGCACATCCAGGTATACTGTAAGATGATTTTCCAAAAGTTAAATATAATTTATGCGTGGAAAACAGAAAGTCAAGCATATTTCTAACCTTGAATAACTATATAGTTCGCCCGTTTTTGCTTTTATTGCAGCAAATGCACTCAGTAACACAAAGGTATATCAGATATATTGTTTCTAAGCATAGGTCCATCGTGATGATAAAATACAACTACTGAGCTCCGTAATCCATTGTCGATAGCGCCAATCGAAACTTTCTCTTCCTCAGCCTATGCATAACCCTAGCCCCACTGCGCGAATCTTGCTGTCGCCGGCGCTCAGTGAAAGTACAACTGGTTATGCTGAGTGTCTGCAGTGGGCCCATCGCTCGGCACGTGGTGATGTCATAGAATCGTCCGGTAGCCGGGAGCTACGGTCACGTGCAGGTGTCCCCGAGCTTCTGGTCAGGGTGACTTCAACAGTCGACACATCTGTCTGGGTTCAGAGAACTCAACTGTCCGCTACTTACTTCTCACCTCGGGAATGTTCAAACTGCACATTTTTCAACAAACGGTGCACCATGGGTACCGCAAACTGTGGCCGAAAAGCTCATACTCTCGCACCTGCATTCTCACCGCCAGCCTTGCAGTTATATGTCAGACGTCGTCTTATCGGTCGGAAATCGCTGGGAATTCCGTAAAGCCCCGAACGTTATGTGCACTTTCAATATACCAGGTGTCGGCTCTCGGCTCTCAGAGCATTTCCTATATCTACCTGTCTGAAAATGCGTCATCATCTGCCTTTCAGTGACGCGGGATCCTCTAGTCTAATCGCCCACAGGAGCAGCGCAAGATCGTCGTGTATTTCCTGTCATCCATCTTGTCTCGTTGCCTCCTCTCCCCCGCGGTCACAGCTGCCACACCTCAGACCCGGGGATGAGGGACATCCCGACTCTCGACCGCAATAGCGAGCCACCGTGACCACGGTGGCACGCCCTCCAGCTTCCAAGTGCTTTGCTTCAATGCTCCCAGTCCCAGCTGCGTTCGGGCCGCCCCTGACACGGCACATGACGCAAACTGACAGGTGACAGGAAGTGTCAACTGTTGACCGTGCCAACATGTCATGGCTTGGGACCGTTGGCTCGACTCCACAAGGCACCCAGGCGTTGGCATATCACGTGATGGCCCGAGTCAGTGACCCGCCGGTCTATGAGTACGCGTGTGAGGCATAACAGGTGTGTCTACCCATGGCGTTTCCGTCGCCTCTAGCTTCGTCGTCTGGCCAGTCAATGATGCATGGGTGATTGTCCGTTAGATGTGTGCGAACCTGACCTCCGGTTCGGTGGGACAGACCGGCCCGGAAGACGGCCTCCCCGGACCCGGAGGGCAGGTGACGGCAATTGACTGGTTTGCGCAGCGCGACTCCCGCCGTCCGCCCGGAGCTCCGTGAGTCAGAGTCGTTCTGTCGGAGTCAGTGACCCCTCACTCTCAGCTGCCGGCCTTTCCTGCCACCAGCGGAGCCGCGTGCCGCGGCCGGATGAGCGTTGTGGCTTTGTCCCGTGCTGGACAAACATTCCAAAGGAGCAGTGCAGCTGAGCGGGCTGACGTAACAGGACAGATTTAGAGGAACGCCCCTGTCTGCCGCTATTCGGAACCGTGACGTGGCAATCGTCCAGCCTCCAGCTGATTTGCAGCCTTTCCTCCCCTCCAATCTATCTATCCAGAAGTTGCACTAGCTACACGTTCTGTCTCTCCTCGTTTATTTCCCAGCTTCTCATCTCCCACTTACCGCCCTTCTTCCTCTCCTTCTTCTCCTTCTTCCTTCCGAGGTGAAGCCGGGCCCTCAGACCTCCGCCTCCTCCACTGTTCTGAACAGGGGCGTCCTGCTCGTCCGTGTCGTCTCCGTAGTCAGGCTGTAAAAGGTATCACCGTGTTAGTCCCCCATTAGAACAGCGACCACACGTGGATATAGTAACCCCGTGCGACGCGTGACCGGCATTTGATTTGGCGGTGCATGACTAGGGCGCAGTGCAAACCCTTATTACAGTTTTATAGTGCAAAGCTCCGTCTATTGCATCATTGAGTGCCGGGGAAATGGGTCGGCGAAATCACACTCTGCCCATTAGTGCAGGCCCCCGCACCAATTAGGTAGCATGACGGTAATAATTGCGGCTGAAACGTTGTGCAGTGCGCGCTATTCTGAGCAGTGCTACCACTCCAACCATTGCACCACTGAGTATAACCGAGCTGTCACCACCACTCTCGATATATGAGCATTCAGTGGAGGTAACTACCGCTTGTCGTATACCTGCAATACCCCGCCGTGTCACGTTAGACCAGCCTGGGTGTGGCGGCGCGCTCGTATACTCACGTTGGGGATATCTCTGTGCGGCAGTCGATCGGTGTCGCGAGGAGGCAGCTTGGGCGGCCTCTCGGAGCGGCCCATCCTGCCGGAGGAGCCCGAGCTGCCGCCAGAACCGGCCACGCTGTAGGGGTCCTCGTCAGGGATCGGGATCGAGCTGCGCACTGCCGGAACGCTCGGGGGGATCGCCGACCGCAGACCTGTCCAGAGAGGGGTGGGAGGTCAGATGTGGTCACAGACCTCAGACCTGTTCAGAGAGGGGGTGGGGAGGTCAGATGAGGTCACAGACCTCACACTCACAGAGACAAAGGTCAAAGTGAATCACAAAGTTCAAAGTGCGGTATGCATACAAATGAGTCTGACAAAGCCGTGAGGTAAATCCTCAGGAAATACAGAACGCAGACAATGGTCAGGGATCAAAGATCTTTGACCGGCCAGGTGCAGACAGCAGCCAGGCTCTTTCATTGAGCTTTCAACGGGCCCATGTGAATTAAATCGACGATAAATCATGCCGCACACAGTTCCATGTCGTCGCCAATATTCTCCTCAGATGGAAATATTACCAGCCAGTGACAAAGGGGCTCGGACAGATTACGTCGTGCATTTCAAATAGTGAACAATGGAATGGCCATCCTCCCACTGTCTGGGTACAACTCATACTGCACAATGCGGCAGGCAGTGCTCGCATATGATTACCTACACAGTGCCACCACCCACGCAGACGCCTAATCCCAGTCGGGATGTCACGATGACAGCGCTCCGTCCTCTCAAAGTGTCCCCTCTCCAGCCGCTCACCTGGCATCAGCTTGCCCTTCAGCATGTCCAGGGCAACGATGTTGATGACTAGCACCCAGCACGGGCAGTTGAGCATGTCGTCTTCGTTCTTGACGAAGGCTAGCGAGGTCATGCACTGAGTTTCGAGCCGGGTGCGGTCGGGGTACTGTCGCTTCAGCTCCCGGTTCACGTTCTGCTGGAACTTCTTCAGGTCGAACATCTGTCGGAAGGGAGAGTGGACGTCAGGCATTGTCCGAAAGGGATTGTTGTTGCGTCGGCGTTAGATCTTATCGATGGGTGAGTCTGCCTATTGAAAACGACCACGGAATTCGCCGGGGATGGGCGTCTTTGATGGGTGGAATGTCCGTATGATGAGCGGAATACGAACAACAATGTCGACTGACTGCATTGCAAGCAGAACCGAAAATATTTCGGAATGTTGTTTGTGTTCACCGATTCATGCATAAAATCAACAACGCAGTAAAGCTGAAAATATTTTTCAATGTTTTGCGGATCACGTACAAAGGATATTGAGAAACCTCTTCACTTCACTATTTAGTTTTTCACTTACTATGAATTCTGAGCACATGGGAAGGACAACCAGCATCCGTATGATTGAGAAATGACAGACGTTCTAAGTTCATATATCTTTTCCATCAATTAGGTTGTGATTATCGCTAGCAGGGACATTCGTCATATACCAAAATGGATGTGCCAGAAACGGGAATATTGGCGCTTCGCGCTCCTGAGAGGTGTGGGCATGCCCCATCAGGTTTCTAGGAAAAAATCATATGTCATGCGGCGTGCTCTTCGCCCCGCGATTAGTGGAATTAACTGAAGGTCAAACTAATCTCCCGTAAAGCCATGGCAACAGAAAACAACGATACATTAACCAAAAACATGAATAAAGATCTTAAGAATATGTTAACCAGATAAATCCAAAGATATCAAACAAAGCCTCGTATCAACTGATCGGCATCTGCCGGCCTCTCCTCCCAAGGATTATCGTCGGATCGTGATCTCGTCTGGCGCCGTCTGGCTGTGTTCTGTCACTCCCAGCGGGCTCTCTGGGCGCTGATGTCAGTGATAGCGCTCAGCGCTGATGGATGGGGTGCGAATCCGTCGCTCGGCAGTGCCTGCGGGGCCAGCGGAGAGCGGCACTGGCCGCCGGCGAGGTCAGCGGGAGCACACGACCGACCCTGAGACGCCGGCGATGTCAGTGAGGGGCCCGCCCGGCTGCCGAAAATGGGGCCGACAGCCGCCTGATAATAGGGAGCACGGAGCCCGTCTGCTTCCGGGGCACGGACAGGAGCGATTTCGTGGTCCATCTCGTCCAAATAAGCGCTATTTTGGGAAATGTGGTGTCACTGTCAGTCAGCAAGGACAATGTGCAATGTATGCCCATTGCCCATAGGGCCAAAACCAATGCCACATTCTATTGTGTTTTACAAACGCACACAGCCAAATCTGGCCTTGCTCTAAGAGATACTGTAGAAGCTCGTCCGCTACATACAATTTGCACGGACCGACGACTCAATAGGAGTGCTTGCTTACCGTCAGTCCCTTGTTGGCCTCCAGCGCGGCCTGAGGCAGCTTCAGGATGTCCGATCCCACGGCGTTCTCTCCGTTGGCGTAGCGCACGAACACGTTGGACTTGGCCAGCTTCTTCACCATCATGTTGCCCTCGTTGTCCATCTTAATCTTCACTCCCTGGAGATGAAAACAAAAATGTATAACGCTGCTTACAGATCGTGACACAAGTGATGATTCGTTGCATGTGTATGCGTAATAAAGTATTTTTCATCTTCATGCAATATGCAACAACTATAGAAATAGAGAATAGAATAGCGACTACATAGAGAAAAGCGGCAGATTACCTAGTTGAGAGATGTAGATTGCTAATACTTTCGATCTAAAATGCTTTTGCTTCGAAGATAGCTGTTTTACATGATGTCTGTTTTGAGCAGTAAAAGTTGAACACTCAATACGCAGTTGTAATTCGTTTAAGTTCATATCCCAGGAAAGCTTGCAGATACTTACCGCGCCAATGTACCGTTTAACCTCTTCAATCTTGGGATCTCTCAGTGGATTATCGAAACCACCGAGACCAATTCTGCAAATCAGAGAGAGATAGTGCGGCGTCAGCGTTTTGCACGTCACGCTCCTTACGTCATCAACATTCGCCTGTTCACTGTCACATGTGAGCACAAAGACACGGCTGTTCCTGAATTACAATCTTGGCGCCCTCCTCGGTTGCCACACCTCGCAGAAACTGCGCCCTGTGTTCGATTGCCGCTGCGCCGCATCAGGTGACAGTGCGCAGTGTCTGTCTCCATTCACCGCCGTTCGCTCCAGTTCGGGGTTGGGTAACTCGCCTGTGCTGATCATGGGAATGGAGCCGGGTCGCTGGCCAAAATTGGTCCCCTCGCTCGCTCACTCACGCCCGTCGCGCACCACTGCATTTGTCAGGTGGTCAACCTCCCCCCCCCCCCCCCCCCCCCGACTCCCTCAACCACAAACAATGCAGAATTAGTGGGAGTGAACTCCACCCCCCAATCCCCCTCCAGCAAACACAGTGCGGTGGTAGCGGGGGGGGGGGGGGGCTGTGTGAACTTACTCCGGTGGATACCGGCGGCCTTGGCGGGCCGTGAGACACACCCGTCTAATCGTGGGGACCTGAAATCTTTAAATGACTGGCCTAAAAGTCGATCGTGCCTGACATTTAATTGCAGCGTTAACGGTCAGCACGAGTTTAATGGCATTGATTTCCTTTGTCAATTTCACGTTCGCCAAGTATTTCACTTATTTACATGATACAGAAAATCACGACTAGAAAATCACGACAAATCCTTCTCAACATTTTTTGGTCTTCCAATTCCCTTTTCTCAGGATCTTTTACGTTTCATAGTCTCCTCAACCTTTTCTTCCATCTGACTCTGTTCCTCTCACTCTCTTTTCTCTTTCCCTCTGTTCCTCTCTCCCTCCTTCTCCTCCCTCCCTCTGCCCTTCCCTCTCCCTCCCTCTCCTCCCTCTTTCCCGCTCCTCCCCTCTCCCAGGCCAGCGGAGAGGTCGGCAGACCGGGCGGCCTTCAGAAGTGGCTCCTCCGGACTGGCCGGACCTTGCCGCAGGTGCCGCAGGGAGAGGGCGCCACGAGAGCTCAGAGATGGGTGCTGCGGCTACATAACGGGCTGGAGACTCTCCCGTCAGCCCTGTCAACAGCCCTCCCACCACCCCTCTCTGGGGGTGCAGATTTACAGCTAACTGCACCTGTGACCACCGATTTAATCCCGCGTCCCCCTGACAGCATCCAAACCACCGTCATGGCGGCTGGGCATGACATCAATCGGCAGCCATGTCGGAGGGATGTCTGTAGAGGGAGACGTCTTATGTGGATTATAATTTGATTTCTGAACACAAGATCAGGCCCTCTCGGAGACACGGTCATTTATACAGATGCTGCTACCATTAACTGACGAGTAGATTGGATGATGCGTTTCCTAAATTCAGGGCTTCTTTGACCGATGCTCGGTGCTACCGATGTTACATAATAACCTTCTCTGAACACTAAAACTATTGTCCAGCTCCAGACTCTGTCGAATTTTTCCAATGATTTTAAACTATTTAAATGGCCGGTCCCATTTGACACCAAGTGTGAAACAAAGCAAGGGTCAAAGCTCCTCGAAAACCTATTCATCCTTCCTTCTCCTCCAGTAAAAGTATTTGGAGAGGCTATCGTTTGGTCGAGCTTAGGACCGTTCTGTATCTGTCGAAGTCCCTACCAAATCGAGCACGTCCCGGGCAGGCTCAGAGGGCCAGTCGACTGGTCGACCTCGGTCGGTGGCTTCCCGGGCCGGCTGAGGGCCGCACACTCAAAACTTTTTTACTACCTCCTGGAGGGTTCATTTTCATCAAACCAGCAAGATAAGAGTATATTGAAAGGGTAACTCTTTGCTACCATTATGTGCATAGTAACGGTACGTGGTTAATATGAACTTATTCACCAGCGAAGAGTATTATTACCATGTAAATATCAATATTACTCTCGCGATCCAGAACATCACGAAAACTCTTTCCTTCTGGGTATCGTGACTCGTGTACAGATAGTCGTTTCATGCGTGGATCTTGTTTACCCTCGTGAAGATGATATTTGAAATGGAATCACTCAGCCAATCAGAAACGAGATCGGCCGTTTGCGGTTTGAAGGCCGCGCGCATCTGTCAGTTTTCGGCCGTTGGTCTCCGAGAGCGGATGTGAGCAGTGTCGGTGCCGCGCGGCGTGGCCGTTGGTGATTGTGCTTGCGTGTTGTTCATCGCCTATAGAGCCTCTGCATGGACATTTTATTGTAAGTACCGATGTGCTAGAGCATTGCATGCCGTTGAGTGGTGCTAATTTGACCTGGTTAACAGGACCCCGTGCACGGCCACGTGGCCTAGGTTGTGAGTACGTACATTAATTTTGTTGTGATGCTACAAGCTTATGCATTTTGTTGGTGACTTCGAAAAAGCCTTGCACTGTAGTGATCCAGTCTCATTATCTCACGCAGACGGGCGACCACCCAGGAACGCCGTCGCTCTCTTCAAATATTGTGCGCTGTGCCTTATCCAATATGAGGGCGCTGAATGTCTTGTATTCACATTCAAAGTGCATTCAAGTTGTATCGTGGTGTTTATTTACCGCTTGTGCATTGCTGAACGCTTCGTATAAATTCGTATGCATAAGTGAAGAGTCTCACAATGTTCATGGCTGGTGTGCCCCTCGTATTGTTTGTACGGAAGCCAAATATACATTGTTGCTCTTGAAGCATGTTTTTTTAGTTGATGAGCTCCGGTTAACAGAAGCTTCGTGAAGCTTCTGAAGCAAGCGTCTGTGAGTCTGTTACCATCCTCTGGGGGGTTTACACTAAAGGAAAGAGTAAACATTACCATGTGACAAAGGGTAGGCCAGAAGATAATACTCTCTGTAGGAGGGTAAAGCACAGAGTAGATGATGCGTTACTCCCTAGAAAAGGGTCCCGTTTAAGATTTACCCTTTCAAAGAGTGTAACCCAAAAAATGTTACACTCTAGACAAGAGTAAATCAAAAGAGTTTACCATTCAGAAGATGGTAAAAAACGTCTGTGTGTCATGTTACCCCTCCCTGGCGAGTTTACTCTTCATGAAAGAGTAAAATTTACCATCTGGAAGGTGGTAAAAAACGTCTGTGTGTCAAGCTACCATGCTATGGCGGGTTTACCCTTCAGGAAATGGTAAAAAAGTTTTCAGTGCAGATGAAACAGATACCGCCTGGTGCGGGGATAGTCGGCCGATCCCGCACAAGGTAATTACACGGGCTCACGGTAATCTGAGTGACGTGACGCGCAGCCGGGCTAAAAACACAGGCTAATGGAGTCATCAGAGTGGTGTACTCGGAAAGTAAAGAGCATCACTGAAGAATAGCATGCCAATAGATTACTTTTTCAGTCGGAAAATCAGCCGAATTCAGCGTCATATTTCGACTTTAAGCAAAGTGAATTTCATTCTAGGAATCACAGTTTTGTTTTAGAATACCGAAGTCTTCATTAGATGCCGTGTTATTGAAAGGGTTAGGTCTACAATGATATCTACCTACCACTCAAGTCTCGTGACCGTTATGATTAGAAGTGGACGTTAACGAGCGTCTAACCACTTCACCACTTACACCAGCGTCTGCTATTGCGCTATTTTGACGAGATAAACAACGCTTCCCGTCACTTAACACCGCCATAAGCGGCGTATAAAAAGTTACGGCCTTTACGTCGCTTTTACCGGCTGAGGTCGGCGCCCGCGTGCTGCAGGAAGTCCACCATTCAAGCGATGTTGTTGTGTCGCCGCGGTGTCGGGAGGTGTCACCGTGTCACCGAAGTGTCAGCGGAGGTGTCGCTGTGATTGTGTCACTCACTTGCTCCCGTCGAAGCCGACATCGGAGCCATGGATGGTGAGCACACCGACTCGCGCGTACGCCTTGGCCACGCGTCGGTTGCGCTCGAACACGATGATCTTGGCCCAGATCTCGTCGTCGATGGAGTCCCATTTGGAGAGCACCTCCCTGATGTGGTCCTGAAACAGAGGAGCGCGTCGCCATGTCAGCTCTGTGTCAGCAGGGGTGGCGGTGCCGGATCGTCGCGCCGCGCTGCAGGGAAAGTGAGAGATGATGATACGGTCTGAATCGGGGTCGGCGGCGGGCCGAAGACCAGCCCTCGTGGGCCTACTAACTCAGTCATGCCTGTCAGAGCGCCAGCGCAGAGAAAAGGCAGCTCGCTATCTCCTCGGGCCAATGCTGTTCACAGTCATAATAAACTCTCGCGGTCTTTTATCTCGCTGTTTATCCACCCGTATCACAGCGCATGGAAAATCCGACGGAGGAGACTGCGACGCCTGGATAGCAGCATACCATGGGAGACTTCGTCATCTCATAAGTCACTAACACCAATATCTCTGCCACTCGGCAGATTCGCTTGTCGTCGGCGAATCCCCTGCAGTGGATGCCTATAGTGAACACTGCACAGTAGCACCAACCTCACTCCGTGTGTGTATGCGTGTCTGTGTTCTTGTGTGTGTGCGTCCGTGTGTGTGTCCGTGTCATTAGAAAGTCACGCTTCCGTGACGATCACGCTACACCACATGACGGTGAGACCGCCAAACAAGGACGAAAGCCGGCCTTCGGGGGACGCAATTAGTGACCACAGCCGGATACAATCACAGACAACCACGAAAACAAAGGTGCCAAGACAATGTAGGCGTGTAGTGTGTGCACTCAAACTAGGAAAGCTTACAGATAACAGTGCTTATCTTTTTCACTTTTACAAGTCAATGAAGGATTCGTTACGAAGCACTAGCAATGCTTGCGTATGTGCGTGCATGTGTTGTGTGTTTTATAATTTTTCCAGCAAGTATCTCTTAAAGCAACATATATTTACCCACTAAGCGCAATTCCTACAATACGATTCAATACAATACAATTCGTATTCTCTTCGTAACTCAGTGAGCTGGTTTTATTCGCTACGAAATCATGAGCTTTTGCCGAGGATGCGCCCCAGTGGTAGTTGAAGACAGAACAGATGGAAAAACCTCGCGGCTCCGTCTGACAGATATGGTCTGGGATCGCCCCCACGCGCCCTCCTCGCCGACACCCTAGATCCGGGCCCGGATCGAATGTCCGCTCGGAAAACCCGTCGGCGTCAGTCTCCGCGGCGGCCGGCGCGCGCGCAGACTCACGGCCGGGGAGCGCCGCGCTCTCCGCATGAATGAGCCAAGGTCTGCTGCTGGGAGGCAGCGTTCACGGTGTGTCGACGTGTATCACGGTGTGTCAACGAGTATCACGGCCGAGTCAACCACCGTGCACTCGACGCGGGTTTGCATTGCACGACCTTCGAGTCGAGTGAGGCCGAGCGGTGCACGTCACTCCGCCCAAATTGACCCGGCACTGCTCTACCAAATCGACAGCCTATATAGTGCCACACCCTTGGCACCTCGCCAGGCCCTATAGACTCGACCTGTCCCCCTTCCCACCCTATAGGTGGTCAGTGCCCGGGAAGGGGCAGTCGGTCGGTGTAGGGGGAGGAGGCAGTGTGCTGCGAGGCCGAGGTCAATGCAGTGCCAAGTCACACCCTCCCCCATTCCCGGCACGCCAGCGGCAGTTAGCGGCACGATTCGGGGGCTGTAACGTTTAGAGGCCGCTCTGTGGGTCTGGCTATCATGGTCATGTTTAAGAGTCCGGCTGGCAGGGTTTGGCTCGACTGCCAAGTACTGACCAAACTAGGACACAGAGTCAACGAGCTGACTGGACGTGATAGTGAGAGTGAGAGGGGGAAAGGTACAGTGATAGGATTAGTGAGAGAGGGAGAGAGAGAGAGAGGGAGAGAGAGGAGAGAGAAAGAGAAAGAGAGAGGAAAAAGGGAGGGGGAAAGAGAGAGAGAGAAAGAGAGAGAGAGAGAGGAAAAAGGGAGGGGGAAAGAGAGAGAGAGAGAGAGAGAGAGAGAGAGAGAGAGAGAGAGAGAGAGAGAGAGAGAGAGAGAGAGAGAGAGAGAGAGAGAGAGAGAGAGAGAGAGAGAGAGAGAGAGAGATGGCAGGGAGATGAACGGGACCGTTACATTGAAACCACTGTAAACAGGAAGATACGCACTGATATGCGCCGGCTATCCTGTCAAATCGTCAGCAACTCGCCATTACAGTCCCAGTAAACAAGTAGCAGGATGCATGCATTCCTATAGTTGGAATGGCCTGCACGTTTGTGACATGCAAAGAGGCACGCAAAGCACTGGAGAAGGAGGAAACCACTTGTCAACGGCGGTAGCCGCTGTGCAGTGTAAAGGACTACAATTTCCTAAATAGCTATCTGAGAAACAAGCTGAGAAGCAGGAAGGAATGGCAGTGTTTTAGAATTTAGATTGAGAACTTCAGGCGATACAGCGGGAAAGTGCACAGATTGTGCGCTGACGTAACTCAGAGTGTAATGCAATATGGATGAATGGCAGACAGCCCTCGGAGAGCTGATGTAACGCTGCTGTGGTTTCTTCAGACAACAGATGTGCCTGCCACTAGTCGGGGAATGCCGTTCAATCCCAAACATGCTACCCACAAAGAGCATGGTCGTTAGCAGCACTACTTGTATTCGGTGACAAGCACTAGCTCAGGATGAGCGGTACGGCATTACCTACATGTAAGCTACATGTCTATTCAATCTTCAAGTAGGTGTTACCAACATAATTAATTCCATATCAATGCCCGTGTTTCGATCTGTCCGTTCTCCGCTGCCTGGCCGGCGGGCGCGGCGCGACCTCCCGTATACTGGGTGTGGGAGTGAAGCCCGCTGACTGATGGGGAGCGTGCTGACGGCAGGTCGCACCCACGGCCGCCGAGTCGAGCCGCCGGAACAGGGTCAATGTCGTCGGTCGACCGGTCGGCCCGACCCGCGGGCACGGACCGAGCCCGGCCGAAGGACTCGCCGAGTCATGAACCGGCGAGCACCGACTCGGCTGCGACTCACATGGGACAGACACTATAAAGGCGAGACTGAACTAACAATGATATAGGTAACAGTGACATTGCGAGCTATACGGGGACCCAGCCACTACAGGCCACAGCCCAGGCCCGATGGCTCACCCCTGTCGTCAGTAAGGCGCCTTTCGGCCTCCTAAGCGGAGACCACGCCCTGCAGGCCAGTTTTCCTGCCACTGCCACTCACAGCCCACCCGCACGCCAGATACTTTGGTTCCCAGAGACCAGATACACTGCACGCCGGCCAGAAGTCGACCCCGAGTACTGCGACTCACGCGTAATGCTGCACAATGTGTGAGAACGGAAAACGAGACTGGCCATGACCGATCCCCAGAATGGCATACCCACACAAACGCACCCTGTTATTTGCTATCACTTGCTAAGAGTGTCGATGACGTTTTTTCTCAAATACAGGCAAATCGTTGCCAACAATAGTGAAATAATACTAATTAAAACTATTGTCAGTCCAGGTGTGCATCTAATTATCAGCATTATACGTGCTTGTCTATTTATATCCAGTGTAAACTAATTAAGAAGACTTATTGACGAGAGTCCATGTCACATTACTCCTAATAAACTAGTAAACACTTTCCCTCAAAGCAGCGTGACACTATCACTCTGTGCGGCGTCACGCACGACGTGACGCCCTATCGGTCTACAAGGCGTGACTCCATCGATCTGCGTAACGTGACGTTATTCGGCGGCCTTGGAGCCAGCCGGCCGCGGAGAAACGCGCCGCTTACGGAAGTATGCGAGATCACGAGTGGGTCCCGGCAGCGGCGGTCCAGGGCGTGCCGGCGGACCCAGCGAACCGCGGAGAGTCGAGTCCGGCGAGTCACGACTCAGGAGTCACGAGTCACGAAACACGAATCACGACTAGCACACAGTGAGACACGACTGCCTGAGTAGCAAGGAAGACACGACAAACAGGCCTGGGTGTGCATTGGACAAAGCGATCTTAGACTGGACACTCAAGATAGAGAAGATACTTTCATGCGAATTTAGTCTTCACTTTTTGAATGAAAAGGTTTTACGAAGACAGAGACCCCGCTAAGCAGGAGGATGACTAACGGGTTAACTATAATGGACAAAAAAGGAATAATAAAAATAACATAATTATCTCTAGAAAGGCGCTGTGCAGCTATTCCCGTGAAAAGTGTGGCACGTAGCTCCTTGCATTCAGCTTCAAGACAGCAGTCATGCGGTCTGTTGTTCCGTGAAACTTGACTGCAATTGCGGAATATCGCATGAAAATGACATCAGCATATCTACAGTCATGATGTTGCTACAATTGAATGAGACGTGCACGCAATGGGTGCGGTAAAAATGTTCAAGATAATGTAAGGCTAACGGGGTAAGCTGTCACCTAACGGCGCAATCTGGCTTACGAGTTAGTTACGCATGAACGATGCCTTAGACGGCATATGTTCAGATATGATCATCATCACCGCACAAACTTATCTGTCATGTAACCGGCGCTGTGATGCGCACCGGTTTAGCGACAAAGCCGTGGCTGAAAGTGGAAACTAGCGGCTTTACGGTAATGTCATGGGCGGATGGGCTGACCGATTAGGTCGGACCGGTTGGACTCTGGATACCGGACGCAGGGTGCCGCGTGCAGGCCGGTCCTGTGCAATCTTCCGGTGTGGCCAGTGCGGATTCCTGGATTGTTTACAGTTCAAAAACACAGGGTGGTTGACACTGCAGCTCTGCTTGCTCAGGTGCCGCTGTGTGCAGTGTGGCGGATGTCGCCTTGGAATGTCCCGTTTTTATTGCAGCGTGACTTAGCTCAAAGGTCAAGGGGCTGCGAGCAACTGCAGTGTTATATCTACAGAAAACGTGGCAGTACTTTAGAGACCCGACTTGAGATCAAGCTGATGCTATCAAGTTGCCTTAGCCCGACTGGACTCACGATTCGGGTAAACCGACGCGCATGGCGTGAGAAATGTCTCAGAGACATGGGACTCAGTTCTCTGACGTTTACTTGGTATCTGACTAAGGTGCTAACGCCGTCGTCGATCACTATTGTAAAGTTTGATTGACAAGTGCATTACACCGCGCTTTTGTATGCTGGTTTGTAATCGCAGCGGCATCAAGCGCCGTTCTATAATGTTGTTCGACCCGCCGTGTGATCAGTTTCGGATACATGCCGTCCGCTAGTGTCAGCTCAGACCCGCTGTTTGTTGTTTGTGTCAGCCGTTGATTGTTTGGCCCGCGGGAGCTGTGACGTCAGCCGGCAGGTGCCGCCTTTCTCTGAGGCCGCCGGCAGGGCCGCTGCTCGGCGTCATCAAACTCTTGAGAACATCCCCGACAGGCGGACGGCGACCTCAATATAGGAAACGTCGGACATGTGTCTCCAATAGTGATAGTTAAGTCCTCTAAAGCGATTAAGCCGGCTGACATATGTCGGGGAGAAATGGAAAGTTATTAGGCATTTTCCACGAGTACGAAATCCACTTTAAAATGTTAGGTGAATTTACTCTTGTAAATATGTACAAAGTATCCATAAGCTGCTACGGATCAACAGAATAGGGCAAGCTATAGAGCTAGAGCAATAGTCTCGTTCCAACTGGACTTGTTGCTACCGAGACATAGCGTTGTACTAAGGTGAACAATGGCATATCAGTGGCTGATTCGAACAATAGGTATCGGACGGTTAAGTTAAGTTGCTCTGATTGTTGTGGCTGGAAACATCACAACTTTCTACATCAAAGGTCAACGGACACACCAGCTGCATGGGTATTCTGTACAACAAAGTGATCTACAGATATCAAACGATCGATTGTTTGAATTCGAGTACCTAATCAAGCTTTGCAATAAAACAATGCAATGTTTGTTTTAAAGAACTTAATGATGTTTGTTGCTGCCTCAAATATCTGTCTGGTATGCAATGAACTCCAAGAATATGACATGCATTGTTTTCCGCATCAACTATTGTGTCTACTAAAATGATGTTACAAGAATTTTGTATCTTATTGATCATATAGGGCACTGTCATTTTCCGTAGTTGAACCAGTTCTGGTAGCATGGCCAGACGGGACACTTTCATCCAAAGACAAAGCGCTCGGGGTCAATTGTCGGAGCGCTCGGCCGATTGTTAGAGCCACGATTGTTGAAGCGCTGGACGTCGATTGTCGGGGGGCGACAGACGGTCGCTAGGAGAAACTGGTCCCGGTGTCTAAGAGCCGGTCCGGACCACTGCCCGACACCGATCGCTGGTCCAACGAAACTGAGACTGTCGGGGCTTCGACGCATATGGTCTGATCACCGCCAGGGCGGCGAGGAAAGGGGAGAGGAGGTAGGGTACATGAAATGGTATGGGACTGCTTCACAGCGGAAACAATTGCATGAATAACTATGCAAACATGACCGAATGCTCAACAAAACGTTGATATTGTTCGTTGACATTAGTTATCATTAAATATGCAAAATTGGACTTCAGAAAATCTGAAAGATACCGAAAAAAGTATGACAATTTGTGGACAATGACTTTTCAAAAATTATTTTACCAAAATTAGATTGCCACATCTACTGAACAAATAAGCAGTCGCGATCATGGTGATGCGTCGCTCCTCCCCCCCCCCCCCATCCACCGTGTTTGTGTACTCACGCTGTAGAGCTTCTCCTTCTTGTACCAGACGTCATCCTCCTCTTCCTGGTAGGCCTCCATGTTGAGGTCGTCCCGGGAGCGGCTGAGGATCCTTCGTCGGCTCACCATCTCGCCACCTCTGCAAGCGAACGGTAGGCGAGCCGTCACCAGCTGCTCACGATCCACAGAAAACACAGCACACCAGGCGATCAGCACAGAACACGCGGCGCACCGTAACACGACTGAACACAACGAGATCCAAGTCGCTACTGGTCATGACGGCAGCTGATCAGCGGAAGCTGGCCGTCTTCGGAAGCGGATGGTGCAACACCGATCCCCGGAACATATTACAGGGCAGGGTGGCAAGGTCACCTGGAAAGCCCTGTCTGACCCAGTGCCGACACCCGGCTCCGGCGGAAAGTGGCACAGCCGAGTCACACCCCGACCTTGGCAGCTCAGTGACGCAATGGATGAACGGGCGCATGGACAGCAGTCGCGTGCGATCCTGATGTAAATTTGGAACGGCTCCTCCACGCCTGGGAGAAAGTCCACGGCGCGCGCGGCGGGTTAGTCACTGCCAGTTTCACAACGAGGAACCCTCGCGACGCGACGCGAATGGTAATCTGCAGCCAGAGGGCAAGTGCAGAAACACTGAGCCAGACTCGGCCGGCGCCCAATTCATAGGTGTCCAACAGAATTGAAATATTTAGCATTGGGCCAATGATTTGACAAAAAAAAAAGTGAGAAGGGCTGAGATCGGACAACGTTATAAGTAAACTTGTGACGAAAGACATACACCGGCCCGGGACAAGAGAGCGACTGAAGGTTAAAAATAAAAATGACTATATCATCCAAGTTATTGTACTCAATCTAAAATACATCAAACACAACAACAAAATAACTCGGATGCATCACAATAAGTCATCGCTCGGCCAAAAAAGTCGACCATTCTTGCATGTCACGCACTGGACATAACTTACCATTAAAGTTCAATTAACAAGGGGAATTATGGGGGTAGGATGACGCAGAGCCAAGTCCGGCTATGCCGAGGTTGCGGGCGACATTCAAGCCCCGGAACGCTAATCGTGGTTATCTTTATGACGCATACCGCTCACGGCAAATACCGTTGTAAACAATACGGATGCCACGATAAGAACGGTCATGTAGATCAAGCAAGCAAGCACGTTATATTCTAAGCGCATACAAAAAATGTGACATTAGTCATGTTTATAGCGCGGGCCCGGAGGGGTCAAAACGCTGACGCATCATCTGGTTCTGAGACGGTGTTGCTTTTATCGGTCGTGCATCTTCTCATTCGTGCCGTGGTTTTTACTGATGCCCCTACTTTCCACAGCATCTAAGGCAATGGTGGACGGCGCTTCAAGAAAACGCCCGTTCCGGCCGTGACTGGATCACGGTCCAACACGAATATCCCAGAATCCCCTTCTGTTCTTAGCCGCCTCATCGGCCGGAGTTCAAAGAGTGATGTCAGCTAATGACGTTTTCCACTCATCATCTTTCGGTCGGTAAGAAAGGAATATAGCCGCAGATCATCGCCTGATGTCTAGCACCCCACAATTCCTGCACCCTTTCGAGTTTCGACGGACAGGGTGGCGATCGCCAGAGTGGCGCCGATTACGCTTCATCCGGAACCACGCAGACCTTGAATATCTGAAGAATTCCAGATGAGCCTTGTCGCCGACAAACTGTCGTTCGGAGTTCTTTTCTGGTTGGATGTGGACTGTATTTTATTCGGTGAGTTTGTGCGACATTCGTAGCCCGCCCGCCTGCTATGTGAGCTCCTGGGTTTTTGATATTCGGCGATTTTCAGTAGTAGATAGACGTGAAGATTTCCCGTAGAGGATTTATTGAAGTATACGCGAAGCAAGAAGCGGAAGCAGTTGTGAAGAAAACCGGTAGATGAAACACGCAGACACGGAGCACAATTCACTTTCGCTGTACAATCTGAAGCACTGACACTGCCCCGCCGGGCGCGGCTGCGCGCAGGAGAGTCGGTCTGCGCGCGTGCTTCTGTGCTCTGTCCCCGCTCAGCCGGGCGAGGCGTCGAGCGGGGCAGATCAGTCCGTGCGCACAGCGCGACGGTCGAAGTGAGACTCTGCCGGGGTCGCACGTGACCCACATTTTATACGCAATGCTTAAGACGTGTGCAAAACGAGTGCAAACTTGCACTGCAGCGGTGAGGTGGCTGAAGGCGCCAGCTTGGCGGCCTACGTGCCTTAAAACGACGTGTCTTTAATTTATATCTCGGTCTCGGTGGCGGCCGCGGCGCTGCTGCGGCTCGGCAGCGTCGGCGGCACGCGTACCGACCGCCGGCCGCGTCTGCTCGCGGCCCCGCCCTACACAATGCTTCACAACTCATCTTGAGTCTGGACAGGGTGACGGCGGTGCGGCGGCGGGACGGCTGCAACGAGCGGCGGCGGCGCCGCGGTGGCACGGCGGCCGGCCGGCTATCACGGCGGCACAGCGGTAGCGCGGGTTGGTCCGAACACTTTCGTCGGTGACATCACTCCACCCCCGTGTTTGACCACAGGGAGAACACAAAATGACACGATCACCGACAAAGACGTTCAAACAAGTAGGATTTACACGCCTAAATCGAATAAACTACCAAACACAAACGGCCGTTATGCGCGAGTTACGAGGCTCATATTCACAAAGCAAAACACGAATGAAGAGTGAGTGCGTCGGTAAGCACGTACACGCACAACACTCTTCCTTACTTTAACTGGTTCGGGGGCGCTGGCTGGTCAGTCCTTCGTCAGCCAGCATCATTTCTTGTTTGCGTTCGGTCGGCTAATGAGATGGCTGAGGAGGCGACGGGGCAAGTTCCAGAAGCGCCACCTTCGTGGCAGGCCGGGTATACGTACCACCTGCTGCCGTCTTGAGCTGTACGGCGCGGACTCGGCCGTCAGGCCCCGGGAACACTTGCAGCACGCGCGCCAGCGGCCAGTGACCTCGGGGCGTGTCATATTCTGCTAGCAGCACCACGTCGCCGACTGCTAGGTTCCGTTGGTCAGCTTGCCATTTTCTCCTGTGGATCAGGGTATGGAGGTACTCCCTTTTCCATCTTCGCCAGAGATGGTCCGTCAGTGCTTGAACGTACCTCCATCTTTTTTTGGAGTGCAGATCCTGGCTGCTGAAGACTCCAGGGGGAAGACAACGGCTTCCCCTCCCCAAGAGATAATGGTTCGGTGTGAGAGCTGTCAGGTCTCTCACATCGTCTGTGACGTGTGTCAGCGGTCTACTGTTGATCATGCTCTCTATTTCGCAGATGACAGTTGACAGCACCTCGTCTGTTGTCACCTCGCCGCCGAGCACGACCGATAGCGCTCTCTTGACTGCGCCGATCATTCTTTCCCATATGCCGCCCATGTGGCTCGCGGCTGGTGGGTTGAAACACCATTCGATCTGCTGCTGGCTCAGCTCGTCAGAGATCCTTTGCTGGTTCCACTGTGTTAGTGCCTCTCGGAGTTCACGTTCACCGCTTTTCAGGTTTGTTCCGTTGTCGGAGAAAACCTTCTTTGGACGACCTCGGCGTGCCACGAACCGTCGGAAGGCCATCAGGAAGCTGTCAGTATCCAGGCTGTTGGACACTTCCAGATGAATGGCTCGCGTGGCCAGACACGTCACCAGCAGGCCGTACCTTTTTTCCGTCTTGCGGAACCGCCTGACTGTGAGCGGCCCGAAATAGTCGATCCCCACGAAGCTGAACGGATGGGAGGTGTTAAACCGGTCAGCGGGAAGATCGGCCATTCTTGGAGGCTGAGGTCTTGCCCTTCTCTTGCGACAGATGGCGCAGTCGATAAGGATTCGTTTCACCTGCGAACGACCCCTCGGAATCCAGAATTTCTGGCGAACTTCGTTCAGGGTGTGTTCTGCGCCGGCGTGCATGAGCTGACGGTGCGTTTCGTAGATGACCATCCTCGCCACATCAGAACCTGCTGGGAGTAGAATGGGATGGCGAGCGTCTTCGTCCAGTGGGGCATTCTCTAGTCGCCCCCCGACTCGTAAGATGCCATCAGCGTCCAAGATTGGTGACAGGTCGGCGATGCCGTTCTTCTTGTTGAGCTGCTGACCCGCCTGTAACTGCTGCAGCTCGGTCCTGTAGGCCTCCGTCTGCACCATCTGGATGATGTTCTTCTCCGCGTCATGGAGCTCTGACACGGTCAGTGGGCCTAGGTTTCGCTGTCGCTTCTGCTCGCCTTTCAGCTTCGAGTTGCGGAGGAAGCGCAGGATCCAGGCCACCGTGCGCTTGTATTTGGTCCAAGACGAGAATTTGCTCGGTGTCGGCAGTGCTGCCTTTGGATCCCTCACCGTGACTGTGGCGAAGGCTCCAACTTTCACTTCTACATCTTCTTCAGCCAGCCTCTGAACGTGAGGCTGCTCTGGCCACCCTTCTTCGTCGCCTCGGAGGAAGTCTGGGCCGGATAGCCAGAGAGGGTTGTCGGCGAGCTCCTTCACTGTCTCACCCCTGGAGCACAGATCGGCTGGGTTGAGTCGTCCTGGGCAGTGCCGCCACTGACCTTTGTCTGACAGGTCGTGGATTTCTGCCACTCTGTTTGAGACGAATGTATGGAATCGTCTGCTCTCGTTGCTGATGTACTGCAGGATGACCCGGCTGTCGCTCCAGTAGGTGACCTTCTTGACTTGATCTGGTATCTCCTTTTGGAGCGCGTCCACCAAGCGCACTGCGAGCACTGCTGCCTGCAGCTCCAGTCTGACGATCGACAGTCTCTTCAGCGGTGCAACTCGTGTCTTGCTCATGATGAACGAGCAGTGATGCGTGCTGTCTGGTGAGGTCGTACGGAGATAAGCGACTGCTCCGAACGCTCCCTCTGATGCGTCGCAGAAGACATGAAGCTCACGCGCTATTGTGTCACTTGATGTTGGACGGAGGCAGCGTGGGACACTGATGTTTCTCAGTGCTGGCAGTTCTTGGAGCCATTCTTCCCATTGTTTCTGCTCCTCACGATCCAGCTCGTCGTCCCAGTCCAGTTGCTTGGTCCAGAGCTGCTGCATGAACATTTTGGCTCTGATGACAAAGGGCGCGGCGATACCCAGAGGATCGAAGATCGACGCAGTCCTTTGGAGGACTCCCCGCTTTGTCATCGGGACGCT